TGTGCCTGTGTGTGTGTATGTGTGTGTGTGTCTGCTGCATAGTAAAACATGCAAAAATATGCAAATTGCCGCAGTCAACGCGATGAACTTCGTTGCGCCATCAACTCGTCTCTTTTAAAGAGCCTTTTCCGCTGCTCCTGCTGCTGCTGCTGTTGTTGTCCTTGTAGTTATCGTTATTATTATGAAAATCGATTAAATCACTTAAAGAGTTTATCGAACCTGCCAGGCAGACAGTGCAGCAGCGAGCCCAGGCCCAGACAATGTCGGTCAAATATTTGCACATAAGAACGTTGCTCACAAAGCACAAACGTAACTTTATGAGAAGCGCCAAGAGAGGCAGCTGTTTGACGTGGGGTGGCGGATTGGCATGCTCCCCTTTGCTGCATAATTTCTGCACGCTAGATTGTCATTTAAAATGAGTTAAGCGCTGCAATTGCTGCAATGCGGACAAGGTGGCAACGCTGACAGTTGTAGCGGGTCCGAGTGCGAGTCCCGGGCATGGCCGTGCTCCAGGTTCTGGGCAACGTGTTCTGGTCCTTGTGCTCGTCGCCAGGTAATGAGCAAACAATAAAAGCAAATGTCGCTGCACGAAACAATGGCGACAAGAAAGAGTGCTAAAAGAGAGTGAGCTCGAAGAGCCGATGCCCTGTAAAGCTGATGAAATGTAATGGCAAAGAGAAGTTGGAAGTGTAAATGGCGATAGACATTATCAGAAATCAGCCCACTATTTTATTATATATATATAGAAATGTATTTATCAGGCATAGAATGAATAAGGCGAATGCAGGGTGTAGTGAAAAAAGAGCTATAAGAAAAACCAATTAGATGCAAGCAGAACGCCAAAGAGAACAAACGATATAGCCAAAGACTGTGAAACAAAGCGGCGGGATGGAAAGGTTAGCAAGGAGCGTGAGTGTTGAAAAGTTTTCGTGTTCTGTCGATGTTGTGACAGGCAGCAGTTCGCGGCAGCGAGGTGTACGCCCGGAGTGGGGCGGGGGCTGTGTTTATTGTGCGCCTCGTTAGCTGGCAATGGCGACCAACAACAGCGACAATGGCAACTCTGGCCGCGATGTAAATTGCATTTCCATTGTTAATTACCAGCGATTCATAAATTTTACATTGCCCTTTGACCTCAACGCCCTGTGGCAGCAGCCGTGCTAACTGGCGGCGATTACTTAAGCATTACCCAAGTTAGACAATCTTATGTGTATGCAAATTTGAACGTAGATAGAATATAGAATATTAAGCAGAATTCCGCTTTCCCGAATAAAAATATTTTTATGATTTTCACACAACAAAAAGCCTAATCTCCTGTAAATATTGTGTACTTAAGTGCACAACTGAATGCCCAGATTTGATTTTCTGTCTATAACGCTTGGATAATTCATCATAGACAAGAACAAATATGATGGAAATCTGGAAATTCATTCATAGACCTCATTTCAGGCAACTCAGCCGTGAGAATTGCGTTTTTTTTTGTCGGGGCACCATTATTATGCCTCGTTTCGTATTTCAATTTGGGAAATTTGCATTTTCTAGCAATTTCCCAAAAAAGTTTAATGACAAAACTTTAAGCTCTGAGTATAGCTTAAAGCGATTGCTTGCCGACAAGGCTGACACGCCTACCCTCGCTGCCCCTGTGCGCATATTTAGCAAATGTTTTTATTGGCCGTTAGCTTCACCTGGCCCATGCTGGCGCCCGCAGCCACTGCACTTCAGTGACCCCCCTCCGGGCCCAGCCCTCTCTTCGGCGCTCATGATAGAAAATTAGCATTCGTTATTTATCACCGCCACGAATGGGAAACTCGCTGCCAGCAGATTCTATGAAAGCGAACGAACGAACGCTTTTACTTTTCACTCACCGCGTGACTTTTACAGCCTCTTAATTTAAACAGTCGCCCGTTAAGGGGCGGCTCCGGGCGTGTTATGGCCGCCTGGGGGGAGGGAGTTGGATGAAGGAAGGCGGCCGGCGAGTGGCAAAATTAATTTGTACCAGACGACATTTTTAATGTATGCCCGTTCTGCTTGCTGTTGCCGCTGTTCCCGCTGTCGACTCGCATTTGGATTTTTGTGTTGCGTTTTTTAGTTTGCTTTCGACATTTTCATTCTGTTGCGTTCTTGTCACGTAATTCAAATTTTATATTCACTTTTGAGAGCTGTCCCCGCCGCCAACAGTCAGACTCCCCCAGCGCCCCCCTTTGGCATGTGCACGTGTCTGTTTGCGTGCGTGAGCCGCTGTGGCATTTTAAATTTTATCGATTTACCGCACAGATTTCACACCCTCCTCAATCCATAAGTACACAAGTCCACAAATCCCGCTCTGGCTGTGTGTGGACGCGAATTAACATGAAATTATAATGCACGCATCAAACTCATGTAAGCTTTTTTTAATAATTATGCAATTTTCACAGTTTTGCATAAATTGTTGGACAGTTTGCGGCATTTATGTGTCCAAACTGCCATCCAACCCTACACGGTGAGCCGCTGGCTTAGGTCCCAGCACAATATGTTGTCAATTTGGTGGGGCTTTTAGCCATATTTGATGAGTTCAGGCGTTTGGAAAATTGTTCGATTATCCGATAATAGTCAGAAAATACAAAAACCATCAGATTTGCTGCCTAAATTCAGGTGAAAAATTAATGAATAAGTATTCAGGTTTATATAAAAAAATTGAATGAAATACAGAACTTATCAGATTTACTTATTGTGCTAAATAATATGATTAGATAAGATTTTATGCTATATTAATCAAATTTATTTATAGGTATTAAAATATTAAACCTTTTTAAAGTAAAAAGCTATTCAAAATGTTCTATCAGAATATTTGGTAGATTTGGCAGCTGTCGTTCAACGTCCTCGATAGTATAGTGGTTAGTATCCCCGCCTGTCACGCGGGAGACCGGGGTTCAATTCCCCGTCGGGGAGAGGCGACAAAAGAGTTGTTACTTTATTTTTATAATTTTTTCGTTCAGTCTTATTAATAAAGTACTCATATTTAATTTTATATTTTATGCTTATATTTATAAATTTATAAAAATTAAAAAAAAAATTCCACATCTCTCCCCGACGGGGAATTGAACCCCGGTCTCCCGCGTGACAGGCGGGGATACTAACCACTATACTATCGAGGATGTTGATCAACCCTGACACAAATAACTAGCTTCTGTTTGCTTCCAACACTGCCACGTCTAGAATTTCTATTTAAAATGGGGAAATGTGTTCTTAGTTTCTAATGTTGGGAATGTTTACAATAGATTTGATAAATTAAAAAGATAATTTATTGTCAAAGTTTCATTATTTCTCCTTCGGCTGTTGCTGTGTGCCTTGCTTGTTTAGGTATGTGTGTGTGGGTAATTACACAATATTTTAAAGAGAGCAAAACAACTTTAGCTTGTTTGCAATAAGGGAAAAGTCTACCGGCTGCCTTGTCAGACTCCTGACTAACCCAAACATTATGCAAAATTTTCAACAGACCGCTGTAAGATTTGTTTTAACGTCCATCCAAGTCTGTGTCCGGGCACTCTACGGCCTTTACCTCTCACCGCGTTGTCCCCTGGTTGTAGATGCAACGATAATGTGGCGTTTGGCGTGCTCGACTCGTCTGTTGCTCTCGAACTTTTGGCCAAAGCGCCTAGGGGCAGAGCACACAAAGCCAACACAGCAATCGATTCTGTCATTGAGCCGTCGGCTGGCAATGAGCTCCATTGGACAGCCGCAGTGCTGAGGGTGTGGCTGCTGTATTGGGCCGAAGGCAAAACCATTTCCGGCCAGACAATAAACGGGCAACGTAGCCAGCTTGCTGGGCATTTCCGGTTGCGCGATCTACTTGTTGTTGTTGTTGTTGTTAATGTTGTTACTGCTGCTGTTGCTATTGCTGCTCTGTGTATTTCTTTTCTTCTTCTTTTGCTTGTTTTTTTTGTGTTTTTCATATTTCTTTTGCTCGTGGAATTGAAGTTTGACAATGCCAAAGCCAGCAGGCAGGCACAGGCAGTCAGCCAGTCAGGCAATTCCGCAAGTAAAAAGTTGAGGCAGAAAAAACTCATTTATCTTGCGCTGAGGCGGAGAGGGACACTTCACTGCTCCCTTCTGGCCGCAGGGCAATTCAATGTCGCCGAAGACATGTCAAAAGTTTTGCTGCCGCTTCTGTTGTGCGTTGTGTGTTGTGTTTTCTCGTTTAACTTAATTAAATTTTCCTCGCAAATTCGCATTTTCATTTTGGTCGGCATGTACACGCTGCGTATGTGTAATGAGCGCAAGTGCCGCAGAGAAAAAAGCAACAATTGATTAAAATTTTATTGTTTTTATGCGTTTGGCTCGGCGTGGCTCGTCCCGGCTCGACTCGCCTCGGCTCGACACGACTCGTCGACGTAAACAAATTTCTGAGTAATACGTAATTTGTGTCTCTGGCTCTGTCTCAAGTCTTTTGCATATTTTAGTTACGTAAATTGACGCAAGCTGAAAGTTTGCCTCGCCCCCCTCTTCCAGCTGCTCCGTCAACGCGACACGCAAAATAAAAGTTTATTGCATTGCAAATGTGAGCTAAAATTTGCACATAAAAAATATCATTTACACTTAATAAAATGCGACGTGTAATTGACATTTATTAGCCTCGTTTTTGGTCTCATTTTTCTTATATAATGCGCCCAAAATTTTTACAAGCAGATAATAACGATACTTGGATTATGCATAACAAATTTCCAGCAGCGATTTATGTGCCGCTATAAAAGTTTCGCGGAATGAGAAAATATTCCAGGGGCAAAAAACATTTATCAAACTGATTTTTAATTATGCTAAAAGGTTGACTAAATTAGAATGTTAAATACATGATGATGATTTACAATTGATAAACACAATTCAGATATATTTGCATATAAGTTTAAACAACTTAAGTTTCTTTGTTTCCCTTTACTAAGCCGCTCTGGCATATTTTTAAGTCTCTATAAATGTTTTACGTATTTCACTGAATAATGAAATATTTTTCCTCCTTCTGCTTTTTCCAGACAACGAATTATATTCAGGCACTGTGGCAGATTTCAGCGGCAGTGATCCGATTATCTATCGTGAGCCTCTCCAAACGGAACAATACGATAGCCTCAGTCTCAATGGTAAGTTGTTTACAACATTCCCAGCTCCCATTGCTCTAAGAACACTCGTAGTAATTGAAAATGTCGGCTCTGTTATGATTATTATTGTGCAATGTGCTTTCTATATTAGTGAAATGCGCTCCACTCGAATCAAATGAAGTCCGCTTGTGTTGTGTCTCTGTGACTCTCTCACGTCACAGCGGTGATTCGCTGTGGAGCTCTCAATGCTCCTGCAGGCAATACATCGAAGTCACACTGCGTGCGGTTGCCTTTTGCATATTTCAAGTGGTCGACGCTTCGATTTTCATATGGTCAACTTCCATTAACTGAATAGACATGACAGCTATGACTGCCGCCTGTTGGCTGTCCTTTACTACTTTGAGACATCAACCTCAACCCCGTTTGCCTCATGCGCATCCTGAATATTTTATGCGGCTTCACATTGCAGGCGACTCACTCACAATATGTTAAAGGCTGTTAAAGTTATCCTTGCCAAATGGAAACTTTCCATATAAAAGGCGAATTTTAATTCTCATAAATCGATTCCCATTTGGTTCTACTTAAAACTCCTCAAATATACCATTTGCATTCTGCTTGAACTTTAATTCTCTTTTTCTCATCTTAGCCTTATCACATGTTATCATTTGGCAAATCTATTTCAAATTCTGTATGCATTTGAGCTCACATAAAAGTTGATGCATCATGTGCTAAGCATAAAATTTAATGTCTAAGACTGACACTCGATATGCGAAGCAATCGATTGTCGTCGCGCGACTGTCATATAAATTCTATGAGAATGTTGACCATAAAAATTGTTTACGGCCAAAACTATAAATGAAATTTATGACTTAACTTTTTAACGCTTTTGCTCATTTGTGAGTTTTGTTCCATAATTTCATCTATTTCTTTTCCCTCCACAGCGCCAAATTTTGTGAGCTCATTTACCCAGGGAGATTTCGTTTATTTCTTCTTTCGGGAAACGGCTGTGGAATTCATCAACTGCGGCAAGGTGAGTACCACGAATCGATCTGAATGTGTATAAAAAGCGAATATGCTGGCAAAACCCCAAAATAAATTTGTATCTACAACAAATGCATGGGAATATAATTGGTTAGATTGAAACAGGGAGAGGGAGAGGGAGAAGGAGGCAAGCGGAAATGGCTCTATCGCCGCCATATTGGTCGGCCATTTTGCTTGTGTTTGCTTTATGCGTACACACTTCCGGCTCGTGCTTTGGCTTTGGCTTTGGCTTTGGTCCAATGGCCAAATACAGTTATCGGTTTTGGATTTTGCCGGCTATTTGTTTATGGGCAACGTTTGTTGGTTTTCTATTGGGATGCGACCACATCAATGGGCCGATTAGCCTGCGTTTGCCTCCCATTTCGGCACGACTCCTGCACACTATTAATATTTATCTTTTCTGGCATTTCAGGCGATTTATTCGCGCGTCGCACGCGTCTGCAAATGGGATAAGGGCGGCCCGCATCGCTTTCGCAATCGCTGGACCTCGTTCCTCAAGTCCCGTCTGAATTGCTCCATACCGGGCGACTATCCGTTCTACTTTAATGAGATACGTAAGTGGCTGAGCACAGCTTTGAATTTGATTCACATAATATTTTATATTTATATATGTATGTATATATATATATATTTTGCTGCCCACAGAATCGGCTAGCAATCTCGTCGAGGGACAGTACGGCTCCATGAGCTCCAAATTGATTTATGGCGTTTTTAATACGCCAACAAATTCAATTCCCGGCTCAGCGGTTTGTGCTTTCGCCTTGCAGGTGAGTGCACAATTACGATTTACCTGAACTGCGCCCCGGACCTTAACTTGTGTATATTTCTCTTTTTCACTCTCTTCCATCGCATCCTTTTGCCAACCGCAGGACATAGCCGACACATTCGAGGGACAGTTCAAGGAGCAGAGCGGCATCAACTCCAACTGGCTGCCAGTAAATAATGCCAAGGTGCGTACCACTATTTCAGCTATCAATATATACATACATAGTATTGGCCGTGGTTCGGTTAATGCTCACTTTCGCATCGAAAGCGAAGAAGCAGTTAAGCGCAGCTGTTTCACAATTTACGGCCAAGAAAAAAAAACGTACTTTTCTTATGCCAAAAATTTGCATTTGAATTACGAATGTATTTGCCGAAATGCGACCCAGTTGACTGCACATGCTGCTAACGGCTGGCATTTTGGTTTTTTGGCCAAGGGAACTTGCGGTTCTCGGAGAGCCAAATTAGAAATTGAAGATGTTTGAAATTTGAAACAATTGCCATACTTTGAAATGCATAAAACTTTTAATATAACGCTTAAAGTGCACCAGCCGCTATCGTCTGACTGGGCAGCAGTCTTCAATTTTGAATAGAATTTTAATAATGCAAAGGATTAGGATAAAAGAAAGTTAAATATTCGTAAACTCATGGAAATGGAAATGGAAATGGATAACTTCGTATGGATCAAAATCAACTTTTGGACTAGAAGACTTCAAAGTTGTGTGAGGCGTATTCATGTAGACTGCAAATAGATGAAAGACGGTGATCATCATTTGTTATTAATGATTCTAATATAATATTCTGCAACTGTTATATATATGAAAGAATTTGCTTACTTCTGTTAGCTCTCATATCATACAATGGTCTACCTATAGGAGTCACGTAGCAGGCAGCGGCACTGGCTTGTTGTTCAGTACTTTTAACCATATGGGCAGCATCTCCTGTATCGCCATAAAAGAAGTTGCCTGAATGCCTGATGCTTAATAATTTCCACACAACACACACGAATCAGCGAAGTCAACATGCGAGCGGGCACTTTCCGCTGGCGATTCATAAACCAAATCATTGCCAAAACAGAAAGCTGACAGACAGCAGCACACACAGACACACACACACTTGCACAAAGGACACTTTCCGGCGCTGCTTTGTCCGTCTGCACTTGGCCGTGCTAAGCAATTTCCGGAACGTTGTGTACGGGTATTTGTTACGAGCAGCACGAGCGCGGCAAATGCAATTTATACGCTCCTTTTTGTGGCAAGAAATGAGGAGCAGATAAAGCAGGCCAAGGAGCAGCAACAACTGACCGCGCATAGCCATAACTATAACCACATTGCAGTCATATACTGAAGGATACTAATAATTTATATTAAATCTCTCTCTCTCTCTCCCTCTCTTTGCTTTACGCCCTCTGTCTACTCGGTGTCTCGGTGTCGTCTTCATGGACTTTTTAGGTGCCCGAACCACGTCCTGGCGCCTGTCACAATGATTCACGAACGCTTCCGGATCCCACATTAAATTTCATCAAAACACATTCGCTAATGGACGAGAATGTTCCGGCATTTTTCGGTCAACCGATTTTAGTGCGGACGAGCACAATGTAAGTACCTCTCCCTCTCTCTCTATATATACAGTAGGGAGCAAAAGTGTTTCCATAGTTGACACTTTCAACTTTGTGAGTCGATAATTTCTAAACGAATGAAGCAAATCAAAAAAACTTTTTTTTCCAATAATATGTATTTAATTCTTAGCAAATTGCCGTATATAACAAAAACAAAAAATAATCAGTAAAATATTCAAACAAATAAAACTGAAACAACACGCATGTGTACAATTTTGCACCTTCAGTGAAAAAAATTTAATATGATTTTAAATCAATATTTTGTCCACAGGCCCTTATTAGCTATTACATTTTTTATTCAGTTTGGCATACTCTCGACCAACTTTTCTATGGTTTCCTTTGGAACTCGGTTCCACTTTAGTTCTACACGCTTCCAAAGATCGTCTAGGTTGGATGGCATTGATTGATATTGCCCGAGCCGTCGCTTCACGATTGACCACAGGTTCTCAATCGGATTAAGTTCGGGACTTTGAGCTGGCCACTCCATCAGCATAAAATCTTGGTTTTGTAACCATTCGCGGACAATTTTGGCAGTGTGCTTTGGATCCCCATCTTGTTGAAAAATTATTTCCTTTACGGGATATGCACACTTGTCCAGAAAATTGGGTAGACAGGTTTTCAAAATATTGAGATAGTCTTCTTTTAACATTATACCATCAATTTTATGCAATGGTCCAATGAGGCACCAAGTAAAGCATCCCCATTGCCTCCTCCATGCTTAACGGTTTGCTTCACAAGGTGTTTTTGAAGCTTGTCCCCGGGCCTGTACCAATAGTATTGCTTGCCATCTGATTGAAAATGGTTGAACTTGGATTCATCCGACCAGATAAAACGTTTCCAATCATCTACAGTCCAGTTCTTGTGTTCCCGGGCGAATTTCAATCGACCCTTGACATTCTTCTCGGATAGAGCTGGTTTATTTTGTTTCACACTTGCCACATATCCAACCTTAGCTTGTGCTCTTCTAGCCACCCGCCGACTCACGTCTTTCCCTATGTCCATAGATGCCTTCTTCGGTGTTAGGAACTTATCAGTTCCCATTAGTCTGGCGTCAGAGTCCTTTAAGAGTCGTTTGCGGCCTTTAATAGTGTTTTTGGATGTACCATTGCGTCTTTTCTGGACTTCGGACACCGCTGAATGAAAAATATTAAGCTGATCTGAAGTACTACGAGTCGAACAGCCACTTTCAGTTAGGCTAATAATACTATTTTCGACATCTGACGAACGCTTCTTCATTTTTTCGCGGTACTTTGTAGACTAATTGCTAAAATTAACAAATCTACTTCAAATAATAAGAAACACGTGGATTTCTGGATCATAAAAGTGTAGAATGCATAAATAAAACATATAAGGGTAAAACTGCATGTGTATTGCCTATAAGAGAATTAAGAAATCAAACCAAAGTAAAAATATCGGAAGGTGCAAAATTGTACACATGCGTTTTGTTTCAGTTTTCTTCGTTTGAATATTTTACTGATTATTTTTTGTTTTTGTTATATACGGCAATTTGTTAAGAATTAAATACATATTATTGGAAAAAAAAGTTTTTTTGATTTGCTTCATTCGTTTAGAAATTATCGACTCACAAAGTTGAAAGTGTCAACTATGGAAACACTTTTGCTCCCTACTGTATATGTATATAAATATATAAGCAACGCTTTCTTTTGCTGCTTATGTTGCACGGGTGGCACGTTGCCCCGCATAGTGCTGCGGGAATGTAAATATTATTGCCAAAACTATGCGCTCATAACTTAGTTGAGCACATGGGCGTGGCCGGGTCGAGGGGCTGGCCAGGCATTCCATGTGTGGATTGTAAAAACTTTAACTGCAGCTGCAGCTGGCACTGCTGCCGCCGCTGCTCCTGCGGATGTGGCCAAGTGAATACGTGACGAACCAATTTCAGTGCCCCACAATTCAACTAATTTCATTTAAATAACAAATTCCTCGCCATCTGATATGCTACAACTTTTCGCATGCAGCTGCCGCAATCGCTGCTGCAGCTGCAGCAGCTCTAAATCAGCTAAAATATAGCCACTTCTAGCCAAGCGCTTTAAGAGTTCAAGTACTTAAAGTCAGTCGAGAGCGTTTGAAATGTATTTCAATTGCTTGCCTTTCTTTGCTCGACTTTGGCATAGGAAATATGTGAAAAATGCATTTTAAACAGTTAGAAAATTGTTGGAATATTTACATAAATTCAGTGAGTTTATAAATATTTGTTTTGCGTTTTCTTTTGAATTCAATTTTTCCAGAAAATTATGCTTTATTTAAATAAAATTTTCCGAGAATTTTATTGAATATTTAATTGAAAATCAATACGAAATCAAAATCTTAATTTCCATTTATGCCACAGCACTTCAAAGGCTTTGACACAACTTCTTGAAATAGCTTTAAAGTCAGAATATGCACTCAAGCCACAATGAAATGAATTTGCTAAAAAAAAAAAGAAGAAAACATATTGTATATATGTAGTCAAGCACACACACACACACACATACGCGCACACCCACACTCTTTATGGAGAAATTGGCTTTTGGTTGAAGCATCAAGAAATTTTACAGGCCGTTGCTACAGCTGGTCCAGCTGCTGAGCTCGGTGCCTGGGCCTTTTCTGCATGCTCATAAATTATTTTCAAGACTCTCTCGCAGACATGTGGAAATTTAAAAATTCAATTTGGCAACTTTTCCATGTAATTGAGCCACAATTACGGGCTGTTGAGACGGGGTGACGGTAAACTTTAAAGAGTAAATCATATGCAAGCCACTGAGCAGAGCCAAGCGGCACTACTGAATGGGAGCGTGGTGTCGGTGATAGTGGTGCCGACGGCACCTGCTGCGGCGGCTGCTTCTGCTGCTGCTGCTGCTGCTGCTGCAGTCAAGCGATAGTTTGAACCAAACGAACTGAGCCAGCCAGAAGGAAATGCATGGATGCGCTGAGGCAACCCGTAACGAAAATATGTATGCACAACTGAATAAATTAGAATGAAATATGGAACACGTAGGAACCGGAACCAAGCAGCCACTCAACCACCCAAAACCAAACCCAACCGAACCCATTCACAACTACGGCTCCACACACACACACACACACACATGAAGAGACCACAACAAATGCTATGTGCGGGCGAGTGGCATTAGCGAAGTGGTTGCGTGTCCTTCCGCTGGCTGCTGGGCGAGCAACTTGCTCCTTTTTAACCATTTACCCATTTACTTGCACCGCACTGCAGCTGACTTATTGTGTTTTTGGCTAGAGCTGCGCACAATAAGCGCGATTTGAGAGCACATGCATCAGAATTTAATCATGCCCAGCGCAATTGAAAAGCTTAAAAGTTGCGCTGAAATTTATTTGGCAACTCAATTGATCCTTTCTTTTTGGCCAGTCCCAGCGCGTAAGTCGGTCATGCACAAATGCGCAGTTGCTCCAATTGCAGTTACAGCTGCATTTGTCACACACACACACAGTTAGTTGATAAACTCGAGAACTCCTTTGGCATGGCACGGACCGCAGTTAAAGATGATGAAAGTCACAGCTGAACGAATGTGCTCGATGTGTAATACAGCTGTCAGGCAACACCCAATACGAGATTTGTGAGTTTATCACACATTTATTGAGCTTATTTGCCGGAGTTGACAAGCTTAGCTGCCAAAATTTGTTATCATTGAGTCACAGATGAGAATGAGTGTTGACTGAAGTGAAAGCAGATTGCAATGAATTTAGTTAAAGGCAACATCAGTTGCAACACATCAAACTTGAAATGCAATAAATGTTCGCAGAGGACATATAAATACTAAATATATATATATATAAATACTAAATGTATATAAATACTAAATAAATATATTACTATAAATTAAATTAAATTATAATTAAATAAAAATTACATTTAAAAAATAATTTAAATTTATTAAATTTGCATTTTATACTTGAAAAGCTTTAAGTAATCTGAGTAGACTTTAGGTAAAAATATTTTAAAATTGCATTACACATATTTAATCGTCATAAAAACTAGCTAAGGTTTCAGCAGTGCAAATATCTTATTTATTTCATATTAGAATACACAAGCTATGAATGATGATGATTGTAAAGCAAAATACTCGAGTTTCTAATGAACTTATTAGAATGGAGCTTCAGAATTTATTATTTTATTCATATGGTTAGTCCGTTAAAATATGCAGTTAGCACATCTTTTGGCAGGTCCATAGAGACACCTAAAGCGCTCTTAAAATTTCTTAGGCCACACAAATTTCTAGTTCAAATACAAAAATTTGCAGCAAACGAAAGCAGAAAGCAGAAAGCACTTTGTATTGAGCTCGGAATTGGTGAGGAATAATTTGATAGGTTTTCTATTTCTGTTTTGTGTTTGTGGCATTATTGAACACAAATGCCAAAATCAAATCAAAAATGCACGAAATTTATGACATTCGACTAGAGCATAAATTTATTATAATTTTATTTGAGCAAAACGTTTTCGGGCACATTGTGTGTGTGCGAGTGTTTGTGAATAAATAAATCACCAAATAGAGCTATGAATGGGCATGTAGTCAGAAGTAGCTCTACACACACACAGCACACACACACAAGCACACACATTCACACACCGCAGGATACTCATTTGCATATGGCAGAGGGAGGCTGGGCTGGGCTGAGCCGAGTTGGCATCGTCAAGAAAGTTTCTTATAACTGGAAAGTTTTAGAAGCTTCACAAAAGTTAAATGCTTCAAGTTGCAAGTCGCTGGGGTCAGCGTCTCTGTAACAAATTTTTTCCTGGTCGGCCCGGAAGTATCCATACTCGACAGATTTCTGCCAGCTGGTTGACCATATCCTGGCCATCCTTTTTGCTTGACAGAAACAGTAGCCTTGCCAGACGAGTGCCAATGCCAAGGTGCCAGCCACAATGCTGTTGTGTGCGCTTATCTTATCGGTCAAGTTTTTATACCTCTGCCACTTTTACTGTCATGGCCTTTATCATGCATGTCCTTGCCCTCCGGCTGCTGCTCATCCACAGACTCCAACTGGAGCGTGAGCTTTGGCTCCGGCTCCGACTGCGCCCACACTAATTTCATTCCACTGCGAATAGAGTTGACTTCCACTTGTGACCCTCATCGCTGTTGCTATTACTGTTGCCGCTGCCGCCGCTGCTGCTGTTGTTGTCAGCAGTGCCGGGTCTAAGCTCATCGGAGCGACACAAAAGTTGGCAAAAATTGTGCAAGTTTCAATTGCCAGCTGCTAGCAGAAGAGCTCAAACCCTAACCTGCCCCTCTAAAACTGTCCTTTTCTTTCCATTTCTTTACTTTTCTTTTCTTTTCTCTTTTTTTTTTGTCTGTATCTTCATTCCATTTTATTTCGTTGCTGCTGTTGTTGCCTTGCGTGCTGGCATGGCCTTTTGCCATTTTGTAATTTTCGGCCAACAAAGTTTCTTGTTTTTTTTGGCAGCATTTTTGCATTGCCATTCATTGGACTTTTGAGCCCGTCATCCATTTCAGCTTGTTTCATTCTCGTTTGGATTCATTTCACAGCATTCTGTTGCGTTGGGAATTATTTTATAAGTTGCCTCAACTTTGCTTTCAGCCTGTATTCTGTTAAATATATATATCATTGTTCTTTAATTGAAAGCTTTCACTGCCTAATGAACGATGAAGATAACAAAATAATGCTAAGCACAAGTTCAATATATATATACATATACTCAAATACATTTCATGATTTATCATTAAATCAAATATCAAATATCACAAATCTAAGCTAAAGTATAAATTTCATTTACGATTTCATGTTGGCAGAATAATTTGCTATCTCTGCCGTATCTTCTCTATCTTGCCTTCAATAATATTTTAATCAAGGCAATCAATCAAGCTAAAGATTAACTTAAGATATTAATACAATATTGTTCTATTACATTTCCAATTTATGTATCGAATAGCTAAATTTATACAATTCAAAATAGTGCAGCAGTTAAAGATGCTTTTAGATTTTCAAATATTTTCGTTGCCATCATTATTTCACAATCAAGGCCTAGGGAATCTGTTGGCAAACTTTTTCAATTTGAGTTTAAGCTCTTGTCCTATCTGGGCCGGGCACACGCGCATTAGTTTATTCCCAGCTCTCGGCACACATGGCCAACGAGACAGACCGCAACAGTCAACACAAAATGGGGGCCATTTAAGCCAGATGGCTGGCGGGCTGGCTGGGCCGTTGCTGGCCAGACCAAAAAGCGATGCAATTCTTTGGCCATTTAGAAAATTGGGAAACATAACTAAAGCTCAAAAAACTAGATTTGTTAATTAACAATAAAACAATGCACAATGCCAAACAGGCTCCGTCCAGTTGGACCCAATTGCTGTTGCTGCTGTTGCTGTTGCCAAAGTTGTCCATGGCGAGCATTTGCATTTAAACCGAGGCAACAACTGACACACAGCTCAAATACATAAAACAGTTGCACAAAAAGCAACAATAGACAAGGCAGCCAAGCGCACAGCCACAAATGTTGCTTGCAACAAGGACAACAACAACAACAACAAAGCTAACGTTCAACATTTTTGTGGTGAAATCAGAGAGAAATTTCCGTTTTTATTTCCATGTCTTTTGTTGTTGTTCGCTCGAATATGTTTTTACATATAAATACAAATGCACGAACACACACACACACACACATCTGCAATTGTTGCTGCTGCTGCTGCTGTTGCAGTTGTTGCTACCGCTGTTGTGGTTTTCTGCCATTCTGTTTGTCATTCCCACCATTGCTAGAGCGACCAGCTTCCCCTCTCTCCCTACCGCCCTCTCTTCACCCTCCTCTGCCATGTCTGTCCTTTATTAATGGTGTCTAACCGAAAAACCAACCGCCTATCCAAAAAGTGTCCTGTCGTGTCATTCAGCTCTGGCAGCATTGACATGTTGTTTGTGGTTCCAATTTGTGCATAGAACTAAACAACTTTTTTAAGTATACTATTAGATAAGACTAGTCAGGAAGGATCTGAACGCCAACAATGCTGCCAATTATATATAGTTGTAAATAGGCCCATAAAATGAATTTTTAAGCTTTCAATAATATTAAGGCATCTTCTTTATATGAATCACACCAAGACTTCAATCATAACTAATATTCCTACGGGTTATAGACTATTAGACTTCTCTTATATTAACTTATCAAATAAACAAAACTTTACTTTGTACCTCTTCTTCTATATCAAATCTAATATATCTCCCTTGAAGTTTGCTTTAATTTCCAAAATTTCATTCATATATTTCCTTTTTTTTTACAGTTATCGCTTCACACAAATTGCGGTTGATGCACAGATCAAAACGCCCGGCGGCAAGACGTATGATGTGATTTTCGTTGGCACAGGTGAGTCGCATACGACAGGGCCAATTGTCGAGGTCCCCGGGGTCAATTTTCGCTTGACATCAATTGTCGTTATGGTTGATATCAATGTCTGAATGTGCCCCCAATGGTTGTTATCAATGTTAATACCCCGTGCGTGTTACCGGGGCGGGTATATAACATATATACTTATTATATATGAATGTTATTACTATTAGAAAACTTTATATACTTAATAAGCTATAAAGATATTATGCAACAAATGCCTTCTTCCTAACTAATCTTTGGAGATATTATTTTCGAATATTCGTGGAATATTCTTATATAAAAATATATATTCTTGTGCAAGATGAAATTTATATTTAGAACAATTAAGTAAATTTCCTAAAGACATCGAGGAAGAGCATGTTAAAGCTATACTTTATTGCACCTGCTGATTGAATTCGAATCAGTTCATTACCTGAATAAGTCACATCAAACAAAATGCTTCAACTCAAAGTGTTTTAATTAAATTCCTTTCCTCTGCCTGCCTCACTCAATCAGATCATGGTAAAATTATAAAGTCCGTCAATGCCGAATCAGCTGACTCGGCTGAAAAGGTCACTTCGGTGGTCATTGAGGAGATCGATGTGCTGCCCAAGAGTGAGCCCATACGCAATTTGGAAATTGTGCGAACGATGCAATACGGTAAGTGGAACGGCGCAGACCCGTCCAATAAGAGTCAATTAAAAATGGGATGTGTAACGAGCTTTCATTGTACCAAATGCGATTCGCAGATCAACCGAAAGATGGCAGCTACGACGATGGCAAATTAATCATTGTCACGGATAGTCAGGTGATAGCCATACAACTGCATCGATGTCACAACGACAAAATCACCAGCTGCAGGTAAGAGTCATACACCTGCTGAACACAGGAAAAAATATATATTTATATGAAACAGATTGAAGCGACGCGACGCGACAGCTGCAGCGGCAACATCAGCAACAGCAGCAAGAACAATGACATTTTTATTTCATGTAACAATTTGCGTGACTTTCAAGCGACGTCTGCCAGACAGAGAGAGAGGGAGTTAGTGAGACAGATAGAGAGAGGAAAAGAGTATCTCCAGCCATTTGTCTGTCTGCAGCTGTTGCTGCCGTTGCTGCTGCTGCTGCTGCTGCTGCTGCAATATGCTAGCACTTTATGCGCATTTATGGCGTTTTACATTTCACAATTTGCAATATGTTTACACCATTGCCATTTGAGCATTCCTCTTAAGAGCCCACACTCTTCCCCCTTTGCAGCGAATGCGTCGCATTGCAGGATCCGTATTGTGCCTGGGACAAAATTGCTGGCAAGTGTCGCTCCCATGGTGCGCCGCGTTGGCTGGAGGAGAACTATTTCTATCAGAATGTGGCGACCGGTCAGCATGCTGCCTGTCCCTCAGGTAAGTCTCACCCACACACACACACACATACACAGTTACAAATTAAAGCTCTAATTCTACTGTATATGGCTTCAGGCAAAATCAATTCAAAAGATGCCAATGTCGGCGAGCAGAAGGGCTTCCGCAATGACATGGATTTACTGGATTCGCGTCGCCAGAGCAAGGATCAGGAAATCATAGACAATATTGATAAGAACTTTGAAGGTAAGACATAAATTTTGCTCTACGTTTTGCCATGCATGTTGCTATCACTCAGATTCTGTTGTAGCACACAATGTAAATATATTTTATTTACCCGTCGTTTGTCATTTTTTAAATCACATTTTCATATCACTCCGCTTTGGCCCTCACTGCACGCCAGATGCTTGTCAGCACAGCCAGTACTGCCAGCCAGGCAGCCAGCCAGCCAGCCAGCATGCCCGTTCATCTCTCCTTTATGCTGACATCTGTCCTTTGCTTATTGCCACTTTATGCTTTTCAATTTCAATCAACATTTACCCAGCACTTTATTCTAGTTGCTTTATTATTATCATCAACTTGAATGCAGCTTAACAGTAAACGTATTTTCATTTTTTTCACTATTTTTTCCCCATATTGTATCCATTTTTTTATTTTACCTACACTTAAATATCCATGCCATAAGCTTTGCTGCTAGATAAGTAGTACTTTCTATTCTATGAGTAGCAGAGAGAGGGCGTGGCCTGCATTGCGAAGTATAGATATAGTTGATTAGGATGATGAATTGAGTGTGTTCATCTGTGTGTCCGTTCGATCGTTTCACCTGTTTTGATTAGAGAAACTACAACAGATAAATAGGATATAGAAAATGTGTTAATATTGGTCGATATCTTATTTAATTTTATTTGTAATGAAAAATATAGATAGGTATATAGGTATATAGTTAGGTATATCAAATATTTGTGTTTTATATGCCAAATATTATAAATATATAAATATTATAAATTATAAAACAAATAAAGATCGTATGGTATTGAAGTTATTCCATAATGCCCCACAGAAGGGAAGAAGTAGCAGAAGCAGCTGTATTCAAGGCGCAGAAAGCATAGCGCGGTGCTCAGGGTATCTGCTAGTCGGATAATGCCGATTAGATTTCACCTGCCTAATTGTATTGCCTGACTTATTAAATATTTCACTCACATATAACTAATACTTTAATTACATTAATAATGCTCGTAACAGTACTTAAGTTCTTTAATCTCTAATCACTGTAAATTTATATTTCAACTATACTTTTGTATATACTCTAAAGACTATTTAAAGCAATTGCTGTTGTTCCTTGTATTAACTCGTTTTGTCTTCTTCTTGTTCTTCTTGTTTCATTTCCTTTATTGATGTTTCAACATGTAAAAAAAACATGCGCTATTTTGGGCGTTATTCGTTGTGTTTTCGATGTTTGGATGTTTATTGATGTGGTTACAAAAAAAAAAAAAAACACCCAAAAAATACATAAAACGGATTCTATGTGTACACGTAATCCTGACCCTGACAAACAATACAAAAATCTGTTATATATATACTCGTTGTGATGTTCGATGTTCTAATTGGATAAACCTTGCTCAAAATCGTATCGTAATATAATCAAATTGGAACATATTCCGAACTGTATTTACCGCATTTACTAATCGAAGGACCACAAATCTCTGCAGATATTATCAATGCACAGTATACGGTCGAGACTCTGGTTATGGCCGTGTTGGCCGGCTCGATATTCTCGCTGCTCGTTGGCTTCTTTACGGGCTACTTCTGTGGCCGTCGCTGCCACAAGGATGAGGACGACAATCTGCCCTATCCGGATACGGAATACGAATACTTTGAACAGCGTCAAAACGTGAACAGGTGAGTGAGAATTGCTTCAAATACTTGGTTATGGCCGGCTAAACTGTTCTTTTCGCTTAGTTTTCCGTCGTCGTGCCGCATACAGCAGGAGCCGAAGCTGTTGCCGCAGGTGGAGGAGGTGACGTATGCGGAGCCTGTGCTACTACCGCAGCCACCACCGCAAAACAAGATGCACTCGCCAAAGAATACGCTGCGCAAGCCACCCATGCACCAGATGCACCAGGGCCCCAACTCGGAGACACTCTTCCAGTTCCAACCAGACGGCTACAATACCCAGCAAACATATCGCGGACGGGATAACTTTGGCACACTGCGTTCGCATCAGGTGATGGTGAGTCCCCGCATCCAATGCGATCGATGAATGTGCCAACTACAATTTAGAACATAAACTAATCCTTTGCACTTGCAGGGCGACAACTATAGACGCGGCGATGGCTTTTCGACCACGCGCAGCGTCAAGAAGGTAAGTTCCACAATTCGTAGTGCCTGTTGTAAGCGTTTGACTACGTTTCTTATATTTTTGATTTGATTTTGATTTTCATTGTATACTGATCTCTAATATCTCTAATCGTATCCATTGAGCTCTATTTGATGTTGTTGACATTTTGACATTTAGTATATATACTTAAACGAATCCTTGTGGTGCGCTTGTATTTGATTGAACTCTCACTCAATCGTCGATTGGTGTATTTCTTAGCCTCACTTTTCAACTTGTTGTGCGTGTCTCCAACTCTCTGTAACTATCTATCTATGTGTGTGTGTGTGTGAGTGTCAGTGTGTATATTTATTTATGTATGTCTGTTTGTGTGTACTTTAGTACTTAAATCGCATTCACTCTTTCGCTCACATCACCAGCAGCCATTTCTCACTCTATATTCAGTTGATTTTTATTTTCAAGTCTTGTCATACTGTCATTATATTACTCACATCCTAGATGCATGCTTACGTAATTCATGTGTCATATATATGTTTTCTCTACTGATTGTCTATTATCATCTTTGTGTACTTAATTATTTATAATAAATGTAATTTATTGTCAGTCACAGCATTCATTAGGCTGTTTCAAATGCATAAATATTCATTTTGCTAAAGGAATATTTAATTCATATTTAATATTACATTTATTTTTGGTATCAATAAATACAGTGCTTATTAAAATAAAAGGCATAGTCAAAAAACTTCATAAAATTCATATTTTAAATTTAATTTAAAAATAAAAATATTTTGTTTTACTTTAAAAATTTATTACAAAAGTTAAATTTTTAATAATAATATAATTTAATTTAAAAAAAAAATGACATAATTATAGCTATTAATTTTGGAAAAAAGTAAAATTTCTATAAACTTGTATAAAGAAATATAAAAAATAACAGTAATTATTCCTTTTATTTTGTTAAATTTGAAACTACCATAAAACAGTTAAAAAAAATATTTAAAAAATATTAACAATAATTTTTGTTATTGGAAATATTTGAAACTTCCATAAACTACCTTTGCGACTATGCCATATATATAACTGTAAATTAGATATTTTTGTATTCGTTATTATGAATATGTTTATGTTCCACAATACTCAATATAATTATTTACTAATTTAAAAAATATATAATTTGTTAAACATAACACTAATATACCAGATTAACTCATATATATATATATATATACAACTCAGTCATCCATGTCACATACATATCTATCTAAATAAGTACCTATCTACATGTATTTAGCTGTGCATATCTAACTTTGTTCGAGGCCATTACTCCATTTGCATGCCCATGATTAGCTATCCATTTGTGTTCATATTCTCTCCACATATATAGATCATGTACATTGTTCCATAATTCTGGTGCTCAGCTTAATTACATTTGTCTGGGGTTTGTTTAATGTACGAATTATTGTTTGATTTCGCTGACGTAATAGAAATACACCAATCTATCGACATGGGCGATTGCGATTCTTTTGCAGGCGTCTCTCTAAGCATTTTGTGTAGTTGAATCTTTGCTGCTCTAAGGCATATTCTACTCTAAGCTCTAAACTCTATTGCTGAACTTCTTTTCACATACAAACATACTTAACACACTGAGGCCGTCGATGCTGATGGCCAAGCAACTGTCAAATGTGGACAACACCAAGCAACCAAAATACCAAAACTCTATCTATCTTTTCTTCTTCTTCCCTTTTTCATTAGGTTTACCTTTGAGACGGGAGTGGGGCGGCTGAAACCAGTCAGGGACTAATTACCCAAAATATGGTAAATACTCACGCATAACTAAAGCAAGTTTTAGTTAACTTTTGCTTTGTTTTCTATTATTGGAAATTGTTGAACTTTTCTTTTTTTATTATCTTTGTTTATAAAAATTTTAATTTAATTTTATTTTTATTCGTTTATTGATACGGCTGACAAAATTTGCTCAATAGCTGCAGTGTGGATACCCTCGATTGCGAGATCAACTGAAATTCGAAACTCAAAAGTAATTTTGCAAAAACCAACTTTTGCTCAAAATTTTGTTGAATGATTTTCTCTGCAATTCGGTTTGATCACCTCTAAATCGTCTCTCTCTCTCTTTCTATTTACATCTTATACACCCAGCACAGTTTGATCGAAATTTGATTCTTTCTCACGAGTAAACTGTAAATTACGTTATGGAATGCCATTTTTTTTTTTATTTTTGAACAGACCGAGAAACATTACATTCAACTTATCTCAGACAAAAAACAAAACAATTCTCAATTAGTTTAAAGACTTCGCCCAGTCAGTCAGTCAGTCAGCCAGCCCGCGCCCAACTCGACGCTTCGTTGCCATTTGCCACTGGAAGGGTTACAATTTCTGTGTAATCGTTAATCGATCGACCATTTCTCGATTATCGATCTTTCGTATGACTGCGTCTCTGCGTGTATGAGCTGTGTGTGCCTGTTGCTCTCTGTCTCTCTCTCCCTCGCTCTCTCTTTCTGTGTAACCCAATCCTAATCCACACTTGCCTCGACTGGCAACTCTCGAACTCTTCTTCTGCATGGGCGTTCCAGCACTTTGCGTATTAGCGACAAACAACACTCGATCCAAACCGATAAATCCATTAGCCAAAGAATGTGTGTGCATTTGAACTTAGCTACTTACATATTCGCAATATGATTATGATAAATGTATTTGTAATACTTCTAATATACCATCTAATACAATTACCCACACAGAAACATAGATCTACTCGTAATACTCACCTAATGTAATGCTATTCAACTTTTTCAGTTTATTGCTTGCTAATTACAATTAAATAAGATCTTTATTTAGGCTATTCGTCAAGTAAAGCCAAGATCAGAGAACTTAAAAATACTACAAAATTTATAGAATCTTTATAATTTATGGCAATTGAGCTGATATATGAACTGAACATTGGATCTTAAGTGCCTGATGCGAATTTGTTTTCGATCGTTAAAGCAATCTTTTTATTATTGTTAGCCAAATCAGAGATAAAACCATTTTTAGTTTTAGTTCCTATTTCACTTAAAGTAAAATACAAGTTTCTCAAGTTTTCTTTTATAAGAAATACCATTTACAAAACAAAAGGAAAACATATAAAAAAAGATTATATATCACCACTCCTAGGCTGTAAACAACACAAACACACGAAACAGAAGTCTTGGTCGCGCAAGAAGACAGCCGCCCCGTCATGGTATTGGTAAGTTTTTCTGTTCCATTTCATTATTTTCAGTTTTCCAATTGTGTACATCACACACACAAACACGCAAACACACACTAAGCCTAAAGTAATTAAAAAAGCTAATTTTAATTGAATTGTCCATTTTCATTGTCCTTCACAAACTCAAAACTGTCTATATCTCTCTGTCTTTCTCACTCTGTCTCTCTATCTGTTTTGCTCTCTCTCTCTATGTATTTGATATTTATTCGGTGAACAAAATTAACTTTTGTTTGAAAAATAGTTTAGTTTTTTTGTACAATTTTTAAAACATTTTGAAATGAGTTTTTCTGGAAAAAAATTTAAATTAAAAATAATTATTAAATTTTATTATAAAAATATAATATTTTAAAGATTTTATTTGTAAGCTAAAACTGATTAAGAATTTTATTTAAAAAAGATTTTCTCAATAATATTTAAATACACAAAAAACCTGTTCAATAAACTCAAAATTCCTTAACAATTTTTTTTTAATTTTTCCACATTAATTTTTTTATATTTATTCTTATAAATATTTTTATTGTTGTAATCTGCGTGTGTATTTGCGTATGTGTGTGCGTGTCTGTATATTTGTGCATGTTGCAACGAACTCAATGTTTTGTAAAATGTATGTAAAATAGATTTGAAAAAAATAAAAATAAAAACATAAGCAGAAAAATATGCAGTAAATATGTTTGTTTCTATGTATTTATGTATACGTATTTGCCTTGAATCTATCTCTATTTGTGTTGTTGCAACATGTACTTGCTCGTGTGTGTGTGTGTATGCGTGTGTGTATATGTGTGTGTGTCGTGTCTTTGCATAAGCACTCTCAACACCTTGCAACTGAACTCAATTGACCTGCTGTTCGTTTCTATTTCTTTTTTCCTTTTCTTCGTTTCCGATATTGCAGTAACTCAGCACCGTTCAAATAGCCCACAGCAGCAGCAGCAGCAGCAGCAACAACAGCAGCAGCCGCACTCCAGCTCCGGCTCATCGCCCGTAATGTCGAACAGCAGTTCCAGTCCAGCTCCGCCATCGAGCAGTCCCAGTCCGCAGGAGAGCCCCAAGAACTGCAGCTACATTTACCGTGATTGATTGATATGTAACACCAAATCGATGCCACTCATCCAGGCGTTGCCCACGCCCACGCCCACGCCAACGCCCACACAACCAATGCACAATCAACAACAACAACAACAACAACAACATCAACAACAACAGCAGCAACAGCAACACCATCAAGTACTGGCCAACAGCAAACAGTTAGCCAAGTCTATGCCCGTCACGCCCATACAGCCGCAATCGCCCACAGATCCAACGGCCACCGCCCATTTCATGCTGATGCCGCGTTCGCCCTCATACGAGCTATACGAACCGCGACCCGTGCACTTTCGGCATGCCCACTCGGATGCCACATTCCACATGCAGCCCTACGATGACGACGACGACGACGAGGAGGAGGATGACTTGGATGACTGCGATGTGGACACCTCTTCGCTGGCCATGATTACCCCGCCGCCGCCTTACGACACGCCACAGCTAGCGATAGCTACCGCCGTCGCTGCACCACCATTGCCACCGCCGCGTAGATTTCGTTTCGGGAATCGTGAGCTGTTCAGCATGAGCCCGGGCACGCCCAAGTCAAATGCCATCACGCCCACAAAGCTGAGCGCCGCTGCTGCCGCCATGTTTGCAGCGCCGCAGATGGCGCAGCTGAACCGAAAGTGGGCGCATCTCCAGCGCAAGCGTCGACGGCGCAACAGCAGCAACGGCGACTCCAAGGAATTGGATAAGCTTGTGCTGCAGTCTGTCGACTGGGATGAGAATGAAATGTATTAGCGGCAAAGGCGTCAATCGATTCAAACTCCCAACTCCTAACTCCTAACTGTACTTGTAGCAATCTTAACATACAAAAATATATATATACACAAAACAGCATATATAGCTCACAAATCGTATTGATAGTATATGAAATTTGTACTTTCTGTAAATTATATTAGCCTGCGATACACACACACACATTTATATACACAGACAAACGCTCACACACACTCACACATTTTATAGCCATAGAAAGTTTGGAGTTTATATATATATAATTTTTGCCAATTTTAGATGCGACTTTACATTAAGATTACCAAATACAAAAGCATTCTTATAATAGTGCAAGGAATAATAGTAAAGCCAATCGATTAAAGTGAGTGTGGGCAATTTAATATATGTAGAGGAGGATTGTCCTTGGAGTATATAGTATCGTATAGCCATATCAATATGCACTCATCAACGTTTTGGTATGGCACTCTTTTGTAATAAATATTTTTTAATTATTATTTTTGTGCCTGAAATTTCAAGTTATTTATTTTAGTAATTAAATATAAAAACATTTTATTTAAAATTTATGTTATAAAAAAAATTGATTCTTAAATTAATAATTATATAAATTGTTCAATGAAACTTCAAGGACAATTCTCGGGACAAATGGCATGAGATTGCTTAGTAGATGAACGGGCCTGGCTTAGTAATATATATAGTAATATATATATATATATATATATTTGCATACGTATATAGTGCAGTTACAGTTGAGAAAGTTTTTTGTTTTGATTTTGCTAATAAGACATATGTATGTATGTATGTAGGTGCATACTTATAGTATATGAGATATTCGCGCATTCACCCAACTAAACTTAGTCGCAATAAAGTGAATAGTTTGCATTTTTGAAATTATTAAAGATTTATGATATATATATCTACACAAGCAGCAGCAACAACAACAACAATGAGAATTATACACAATATTTATAAATAGTTATATATACATATATATAGATATATATATATATGCATACATAAAAGAAGAGCTGCTAATTATACGACTATGGATAAGTGTGAGTAGGCATCAACAGGAAAATTTGTTGTCAAGCAGAACTACGAAGAAAAGAAAAAATATTGTTAATTAATACACACACACAACCTCACATACACAGCCACTCACACACACACACACACAGATATGCAGAATACTCGTAAAGTAGTGAACTTGTACATTTTTGAATGATATAAAACGCAAAAAGTTAGGGATTTCCAATGCAATTTGTACATAATATGAAATACAAGAAAAGTTGCGTATTTAACAAACAAAAATCACTCAAATTGAAAACCTACAAAAATATTATACAGTACATACAATTTTTTGCATTTAAAACAAGAACAAACAAACCGAAAAAAAAATAGTAAAAATATACAAAAACAAAAGTAAAAAAAATCATTAAAAAAAACGAAACGCTTATTACCGATTTATGAATAAGTAAAATACCAAAATAGTAAAAAAAAAAGAAAAATTGACAAATGAAAACAAACACAAATTAGTTTTACATATATAAGATATACTCGTAATACACACTAAGTACATACTTGCAGACATATAAATATTTAATCAAAATTGTTGCTCCTGTTTTTGCTTCGTCACGTTTGTTTACCTTGACTTTTGATAACGATAACAATCTATGTAAATAGAAACTGAATTGTGCATTTCTTTTCCAATTAAGATATGCATAAGCTTTAAAGGAACTGCCAACAGCTTACACTTCACACCATACAACAAATCGTTGCTTATAACTTTATTCGAAACCTATATACATACATATATATATATAGATATATATATATATATATATATAGTTATATGTAAGGCTAACAGCAGTAGACTTTCTAAACACACGATACCTACGATTAAATAGCAAACCGAAATACCTAGGCAGAAACCAACTTTGTTTGTCCTATGAAATCTCAGATATTCGACTTGCGTATTATCGGTCAATTTGATTTGCAGCCTTATGCTTTTCGCTCTCTCAATTGCATGCAGCAATGCTTTTAACCATAATGAAACTTGTATAAAATGTATAGCATTATACGGAATACGATTAGTGAAATGTATAACTGTACATATGTGCGATATATGTGCCATAAATAGGGAAGGAAACGGAATGCGATGAAAGCCCATTTTGCTAACGGATAATGCCCGAAGCAAACATTATTCTATTCCAGTTTTATACACCTGCTTTTGATCTGATTTCTTTCTTCTAGAAATTAAAACAGAAACCGTTTTTGACGCTACTATACACGAAAATCTTGTTTTTATAACGAATATTTCAGAGAAAAAACTCTTCAATCTATTTTCATTCTGATTTGCATTTCTGTTGTAATACAGTTTTTAATAAAGTGATCGATCAAAAGATATTGAAAAGCATAACGTAACATTAGCTATAGAGACTTTACAACTATACTAGAATATAAAATCGAAATTTTTGCAAATATTCAAGAGTAGGTCGCGTTGGCTGAATTGCCATGTGAAACACGTTTCCCTTTCATAGAATAAGTCAATCAAATGAGAAAAGATATTTTGTATAAAGCTTAAAGAAAACAAAAACAAACAATTCAAGGCAAACAAACAAAAACCAACTTTAAAGTAAATATTAATATAACGAACGTTCTGTATTGCATATATGACGAACGAAAATAAAGCGTAGTAATATCTAAATCAAAGCAAATGTATAAAGAATGGAAACACAAAACCAGAATAAATATACTATATACAAATTAACTTAGCGTAATCAGTATAAAAATCATGTAATACTAAAAGAAAATAAAACATTTATTTATTTGGCGCAATTTTTACACATTTATAGAGCCAAAGACACATTTTAAGTTATATATATATATATTTATATAATACTATTATTTAAATGCATTTATAATTTGCTTAAGCTTCATTATTTATGTACATACAAAAATAATTAACTTTAATTTTTATATTTGGTTACAATAAAAAATTATACAAAAGTTTATATAATCAAATATTTTTTATTTGTTTCTTATATATTTTTTAGTTTGTTTGAAATCAAGTGTCGACTACATCAAAAGCAATACAAAACACGTAACATACTAAATAAGTAAAGAATTATAAATTAAACAACAACAACAACAACAACAACAACAAATGATATAATAGCAGATCATAGAATTGAAGGAATCGTAGCATACATAATATGATAATAGTGAACTCTCCTAAACATCTAGAACTACATTTATATAGCATTGCATACAAGTAAATACTACATACAAGTATATATATATACACCTATATATATATATACTTAAAAATTAAATCAGATCATTAACTTTTATACACTTTACATTTACATACCACTTACAAATAGTTATATACTTGCTTATAGAGTATGAGGAGTATTGTAATTAAGATTCCAGCTACAATTAAAAAGGTTTTACAGAGTATGCCTGCAGAACAGCGAGAGTAGTCAGATGAGGAACAGTAAAAATTATTGATTATATACAGACACACATAGATGATGCATATAAACTACCTATAAGTACATACATACATAAATTACAATTACAAAAAAAAATACTTTAGAAGACAAATTGTCTCCAAATGCTTTTAAAACAAACAAAACGAAAATTGAAAAAGAATAAAAAAAAATATTTTACTAGAGACACGAATTAATTTGTGAGATCTTTCAGCAAATGCAAAACTTGTGAGACAAATGCCATGAAGTACTAATCGTATAACAGATCGTATAACAGTTATAGCAAACGTAACTCAAGCAACTTTTTAGGTATGCAGCAAATGATAATTATGATATTTAATAACAAAAATAATGATTATGGGTATGATTATGATTATGATAATGAGGCATGCTTTAATGTTAAGCAACGATTTTTAACTTTCTCCAGATAAGATAAAAATTGATATTTGCTATGTATGTTATGTATGAAACGACAGCAACAACAAATACTATGCTAGCGAGAGAAAACAAAAGGATAAATGATAAAATTAACATTATTAACAAACCACAAAACAAACACACTCAAGTTTTCATTTAACATTACAAACGATATATATTCAAGTGCTTCTTACATAAAATAACATATAAATACATATACATAAACATATGTATATATATATGCATATGCATATAACAGTATAGTATATTATTAACAGGCATTAAATTATATGAATAAAAAACATTAAGAAAGAATTAACAACTAATTAGATCTAAGCATTACATTTACCATATTATTTATGAGCATGAAAGCGAACTAATGAATAGATGCGAATGCCTAAATCGTTTTAAAATTAGTCTCTGCCGAACTGGGTCTAGGTCTGGGTCCGGTTCGAGTTGCGTTTCCGGTTCCGCAATCGGTTCGGCGTTCGGTTCGCGTGTCTGGCACTTAGCTGCGGCACGAAGCGTTTGGTTTTTTAATTTGTAAGTAGCCCGCTATTGACTTGCAGCGTAATCGCTGCATTTTACTCAAGACACTTGCGAGAAATCAATTTATATAATTATGTTAAGATTTTATAACGCAACAAATCTAAACTATATATAAATACACACACACACAAACACCTATATATATGAGACTCTGTAAATAATTGACAAAACATAACATTGAAAATGATCAAATAAATAACCTTTCATTCGAAGAAAAGAAAAAACACAACACAAAATCGATTTTCTCTATGAACAAAAAAATATATATATATTTATACATATATATATATATATATATATATATTGGCCAAATCACACACACCCCTTCATACACATACACTGCAGAAATAATTAAAAGTATGTTATACATTCTTTGGCGTTTACAAATATGTAAAATACATTTCAATTTGAAATTGAATTTGAATTTAAATTTAAATTGTTGAAAATGTAGCGCGAAACAAAAAACAAAAAAGGAAAATATTAAAAAAGAAGCAAAGCGAATGAGCAAGCCATAATATATAGCATATACGAAAACAAAATACATATTTAATCAAATAAGTTACGAAACGTAGTTTGACAGAACTCACAGAACGGTACTTCCAAGCAACTATAGAGCTACACACACACAACACACACTTACTTTCTTGATATCCTCTCTGCCCCATAAGAACGCATTTTAGGTGTGTCAACATCGATCCTTTAAGTTTTCCCTGATTTTAAGTTTCGAAAAACTCTGAAAATTGATTTTTACCTTTGGAGCCCGCCAGAAGTATTGAGCAGCACTTGACTTAGTTCAGCCAAACGCTTCAGAAGACATAAGCAAAAAACATACTTTTCAGAACAATTTCTTATAATTAATACATAAAATATATATATGAAAAACGCAAAAAAAAAAACAAACGTTAGTAAAAGACTGAGCTACAAATAAAACAAAAAAATTATCAATAATAAAAACATTTCTTAACACGAGGTATATTTGAGAGAAGCAAGCGGTTAAAAAAACACATTTTCCATTATGTATTTTTTTAGTTTTTCTTTTAAATTAATATATAATTTAGAACTACAGCCATATGTGTAACGTCTCTATTGTAAGAAGCTAATGTAATTATTTGTTGAAATGCAATTATTTGTTAAGTTCCTAAAACTTATTGCATTTAGGTGTGTTAATGAATATTTATCAACTTTTATAGATCTATCGAATTACAAGACACTGGAACTTCTGCATTTCTTTATTGACAATTTATTTGAACGTGAACATATATATATGTATATATATATTTATATATATGTGTAAATGTATATCGAATTACGCACAAGTTTCGTGAGAAAAGTAAACGCATTTAAGGCTTATCAAAACATGAAAACTTTGTACCCCAATATACGTAATGCAGTTGAAGTTTACAAATATTTTACAAGGTTCTTTCTAAATTCTTATTATTATTATTATAATTATATTAGTTTCGATCTACCGTCTTCGCGCACATAGGGCATATAAAAGATCTATATAAAGCAAATACCTAAATACATATATATATGTATATATATATATATATATATATATATATATATATATATATATATATACATATAGACGAACAGATATATACATACATACTACATAAAATTGCTTTTAGCTTTCCTAGTCCTCTGATTTAAATCAAATACTCGTACATATGTGCGATTACCTACATTAATACATCCATACATAGTTGAAGAAGAGAGCGATTCTTCAGGCTTAATCGCAAAACCAATGCAATCTGACCCGAAAAGTAACAAATGTCAAAAAGAAAAAAACAAAATGATTTGATTAACTAATCAAATCAGCATAAAAATGAAAAAAAAAATGAAATAAATTGAAAAAGAGGAAGGGAATCAGAACGAAGCTTTGACTTCGCAGAGGCACGATTAAGCAAATGATTGAAACATTTACAATTAACAGCATCTAAATATAAAAGAAAATAAATAATAAATAAAAGTTTATGAAGATGAAGTAGAGGAAGAAGCAGAAGAAAATACGAGAACAGCGCAGTCAAGTGTTAAATTCAAAAGCGAAACACAAAACAAATTTAACACAATATTATTAAAAAATTATTATATTGTACTATTATAACTGAAATATTTAGATGAAATGACGATTCTTAATTATAACATATTATTATAGAAACATACTGAAACAACAAAAAATGAAAAATGAACCGAAAACGATTATTAAATGAAAATATAGAGAATATTATATTATGAAACAAATTTGTGCCTTAAAAACTTATTGCCAACTTAGGCATGCGAGCAGCGCTTGGAATATACAATAAAAAACATGGACGTAAGTATATATGATATATAGCTGATATAAATTGATATAGCATAGGTAAAGATATAATCTATGATTGAGCTGCAATATATTGTGCGGAGCCCCAGCGATCTATGCTGTGCTGCACTAAGTATCTTGCCACAGATGGAGACTGCTCTGAGCGGCTTAAAGGAGCAGATAATTGAGCTATAACATCAAGTGTTCAGATCTTGATCAGATCAGATCTTGTTATTTACAAACCTTGCTTTCCTGATATATATTACATGCGCCCAAATGTTCACTCCCAAATAGTAGATTTTGCATCTGATCCTTGCTCCACTGCTGTTCATGCTTGAGCAGTATATATAGCTCAATATATGACAATTTTCTAGGCCTGCAGCCAGCCAAGTGCCTGCCTTGAAATTAATATTGTAAACAGCAATGAACCTTGGAATTTGATTTATAGCTGAGTTTGATGTTTGATTGAAAATCTTTTGAATATATTTTGCAATCGTTTCAGATTGCGGTTCATTTGCTGCTGTGAATAAAGCTGCTTATCGAAAATACCTCAAAAGGCATTTGCAGCTATTTTTATAGCTCATTGAGGTAAAATGAATTGAATACAAATTTCTTAGTAAATTGTGCAAGTTGAGTACCAGAAATAGGCAATCGTATAATATAGTAGCGATAACCCCACATCAACTGTAGACTCTATTGTACTGGCTCTGCCAGATAGGCGACAGCGGCGACAACGCAAAGGCGAATCTGGCGCAGCAACAACAACAAAATAAACTGTCATCAAGACGAGATTAAGGCTGGCGACATCGAGTACGAGAACTAGAACTACTTAGAGCTATGTCTCTACTGCATGTGTGTGTGTGTGTGTGCGTTTGCTTCTATGTATTGATGAGTCGAGCAACTTGCGATTAGGTTTGAACTTTTGATTTCCGAGTGTCTGCCATTAGTCCAAAATCAGTATCAATTTAGCCACTAGGGAGTTCACAACATGGAGCTGCCTACTGCGAAGAGCCAGCTGCTCTGGCAGCTACTGCTGCTGCTGGTGTTGGGCGCATGCCACGCCCAGTTTGATGAGGTACATGAGGATAGCGAAAGGGAAGCTTGGCTGCATGGTGTGTTTACGCCACAGCCTTTGAGGGCGGCTCCTTGGGAAGTGGATGCTGTGACCCCACCACCGCCGCCGCCAAGTGGAGGTGTGCATGTGCCCGGCGTGGGTCAAGTGTTTGGGCTGCGCGGTTATCAGTTCATTAAGAACCGACCCATCGATGCGTTTCTGGGCATACGCTACGCTCAGGTGAGCAGTGGCCTGGGACGCTTCCAGCCAGCCAGAGCAGCGCCTTACCAGCCGATCGTCAATGCAACCCAATCGAGCCCCAACTGCGCCCAGTTTCCGGAAGTGCAGCGCCTGCAGGTAGCAGAAGCGCGCGGCGAAAACGTCGACGACTGCCTCACACTGGATGTCTACGCGCCCGCCGGAGCCCGCGAGCTGCCCGTCCTGGTCTTTGTGCACGGCGAGATGCTGTTCGATGGCGGCGCCGAGGAGGCGCAGCCCGACTATTTGCTGGAGCACGATGTGATCCTGGTGTCCGTCAACTATCGATTGGCGCCCTTTGGATTTCTGGCCGCTCTCACCCAAGAACTGCCCGGAAATGTGGCTCTGTCGGATCTGCAGCAGGCTCTCGAATGGGTGCAACGCAACATACGTTACTTTGGTGGATCTAGCAACCAAATAACGGTCATTGGACAGGCAGGCGGTGCCACGCTGGCCCATGCGCTCAGCCTGAGCCCGAAAACGCAGCACTTGTTCCAGCAGCTCATTCTGCAGTCGGGCACTGCTCTGAATCCCTATTTGATCGACGAAAGGCCTCTCGAGACGCTGGCCACCTTTGCTCAGCTCGCTCGCTGTCCCAGCGCTGGCCGCAATCTAAGCCCGCTCTACGAATGCCTGAGCCGCCTGCGCACATCTGAGTTGGCTAGCATCTTTGAGCAGTTGCTGCTGCAGAACGAGCCGCGCGGCCTCAGCGCCTTGGGCGGCTTCAAGCTGGTGGTGGGCGACTCCCTCGGCTATCTGCCTGAGCATCCGGCTGCTCTTGTTGCCAGCAACAGTGCCAACAACACGCTAAAGCCCGCAGTCATTGGAGCCACCAAGGACGCCAGCGCCTTCATTGTGTCACGTAAGTGTTTCCCTACTTCCTAGTGCCCACCTCATACTCATAATTGCCGGAAATCAACTGCTCCTTCAACAGGTTTCTATGATCAAATACAGCGCTTGCAGTCGCAAAACATCAGCGACTACATCAATGTGGTGCTGCGACACACAGCCCCGCCGCAGCAGCATAAGATATGGCACGATTTGGCTATTCGGGAGATTTTTACGCCGGAGCAGTTGCGTTACGTCAATGCTCGCAGCGTCTCACAGGGCTTGGTGGAGCTGAGCAATCTCATATTGTATCGGGCGCCCGTTGTCTACTCGATTCGTTCGTCCTATAAGAAGAATCCCACCTATCTGTACACCTTTGACTATCGCGGCGAGTTTCATCGCTTTGCCCACTTTGGCAATCCGCTGCCATTCGGAGTGGACGCCTCGCTCAGTGACGACAGTGTCTACCTGTTTCCCTATCCGAAGGATGCTAGCAACTTGAATCCCCAGGACAAGTCGCTCGCCCGCGCCCTAGTTGCCATGTGGGTCAGCTTTGCCCAGAATGGCATACCGAATCAGAACTCAAACGTGTGGCCCAAGGCGACCTCGGAGTATGGCCCATTCTTGCGTTTTACCAACTCTCGGCTTAGCATCTTGGAGCTAGACCAGCATTTTGGCGAGAGCATCAATGTGCCCAATATATATGCCCAGTACTTCAATACCACCAACAGCACAAGCACCACGACGACAACGACAACGACAACAAGACGGCCGTACTACCCCGAGCAGCCTTATAGACCGCCACAGCAGCCCCAGTACAGACAGCCAGCTTTCAACGATTATTACGCAGGGGAGCAGGAGGTGCGCAGGCAACAGCTACTGCGAGAGCAGCAGGAACGAGATCTGAAGCTGAGTGAGCAACAGGAGCGAGAGCAACAACAGCAGGAGGAGCTTTTGCGCGAGGAAGAGGAACGTCAGCGGGAGCAGCAACAACGCGAAACAGAACTGCAACGCGAGCTGCAGCAGCGGGCACAATTCGAGCGAGAGCAGCGACAACGCGAGCAGCAGCAGCGCGAATACGAGGCAAGGCAGCACGTGGACGAAGACGAGCAGGATGAGCGAGAGCTGCAACAGCGAGAATATGAATTAAGGCTGCAGCAAGAGCGGCAGCAGGAACGCGAGCAACAAGAGCGCGAGCAGACGGACCGAGAGCAACAAGCACACTTGCTGCCCATGGACTCGGAGGAGCAACGTCTGCAGCAGGAGCGTGAGGAACAGGAGCGAGCACAAGAGGAACGCGAGCAAGAGTCCAGAGAGCAGCATGAACGAGAGCAGCAGCAACGGGAACAGTTGGAGCGAGAACAGCAAGAGCGAGAACAGCAAGAACGGGAACAGCAAGAACGGGAACAGCAGGGACGAGGTGAACAGACGTACGCTACGAATGAAGAAAATGCACCAGATCCAAGTGCCTACCCCAGCTACGAAGATTATGTCAAAGCCTACACGCTCTGGGTAGAAGAGCTCAGCAGTCTCTACAACCCAGAGAGCTTTGCAAGTGCTGAACAGGAAGCATCGCCGGATGATGAGCTAGCCAACGATCGCTATGCCCAGCCGGACGAGAACCAATTGTATTCCGACAACAATCCACAACGAATTAAGCTAATGCGCAGATATCAGCGTTTCAGCTTCTAAAAATCATTACAAAAAGTAATCACTGCCTTGTTTCAATTTCATTTATAATTCTTATTAGCGAATTTCGAGCTTATATCGATAGATATTTGCAAATTTGTAAAGTTAAATTTGTTCAATAAATAAATATTATTGTTGTTTCTTAACTCGGAAAGTTGAAGAGGGAGAAAAGATTAAATACGACCTCAGCACATATAAAAAGTCTGCTCTGATTGATTGACTGTTTGCTGATAAGCTAAGAGTACTCAGTTCTTGCAGAGTAAATTATGTATAATTGATATTATGGAAAATGTAAGTGTTGAGTGTGGAAAGTTTTGCAATTTAAGAGTGGATTAAATAGTATAATATAACATATAGACTCAAACGGGCTGAGTTCAGTTTGCATACAACATTTACTTCAAATTTGCATAAATTATATTTTTAATACTGCTCTACTACGTGATTCTCATAAATGCAATAGAGATTTATATATTTTTGCATTGAATATGCTAGGCTTATTTTGAGCATGTATTATAAATCCATAAATATATTTGTAATTTACAATTTGTATAATAACAACTTAGTCTATTGGGTACTCTAAACTGGATTTGACACTTGAGAAATATTTTACTTTTGGCGTTAAAAAATGTATTTATATTTGATGTATTTCATTCTTGATACTCAGTCCTTAGTCCGTATTATCACATATATATATATATATATATATATATATATTTAAATTTATTATATTTTATATTTTTTTATATTATATATTTTTTTAAGTATGTATATTCAATTATTTCAATTATGATATGATATTATCGAGAAGATGTAAATATTTATTTTATAATCTTAATAATTTTTTCTGAACTCACTTTTTAATCTCATTTTTTCTACAAATCATATTTGTTGCATTTCTTTTAGAATTAATTTGCATGAATTTCTTATTTACAAAGTTTAATTTTTATAAACTTTTGTTTAGTTTTTTCTTGCCTTTGTTTTTGATAACATTCTTAGCCTTAGCTCCTGTGTCAACCGTCATGGCATTGATTATGAAGCTGTAACCTTCTTAGATAATTAATTAATTTATGTAAAGTTATTTTACAGATGTTATAACAAAGTTTGTTAAGCTAAGCGCTCCGCCATGTGGATAAATATGCATATTTATACTAGTGCAAAGGTCATTGAACCGAAGTCTAAGCCGTTTAATGAGCGTGTCCCGTCCGCTCATTTCTATTTGCAAAAGCATATAGCAAGGTAAATACTTTCACCCACCGCACAAAATGATTAATATGAAGACAAAAACCAGTAGCGACAAATTCATCGAAATCAAAATTTTTTCAAATTAAAATATCCAAAATTTAAATGAGAATAATCTGTGGCCTGCAGCTCTGAAAGTATAATTGAACCTAATCAATCCGATGCGAGGCGCCAACTTTCATTATGCGAAGAACAAATAGACGGCCAATGCCCTAATGGTAATCCCCAGCTCTGTTTGCTGTTTACTATTGGCTATTGGCTGTTTGCCATCGGCCAGCAAATATTAATTGTGTGTTCGCCGAAATTAGCTTGAGCCGCAGGGGCCCGCTAGCGAGCCAGCAAAATACGAGGGAAAAGTGTAATCGAGCAGTGGCTAAACAAATTAGTTCAGTTTTTAATTAGAAGTGACCTCCTGAGAGAACTAAAAAGCTATTAGCAAATTGCTGTCAAGTTTCCCTTTTACTTTTATTTGGCTTTTATCAACGCCGCCTCAAGAAACCAGAGCAAACAAAAATAGTGTCCAAGAAATTAATTGGTAGCAGAAATGGAAAATAATGGGATGGCTACAGCAGCGCAACGTAGGTGATCTTTGTTTCTTTTTAACTTTATTTTTTTTGCTTGTTTTCGATCTTTTTTCTATATTTTGCATTCTGCTTCTTGGCAGTATTCGCGCAACGGAGTGAAACTTTTACTGTGGCCAAGCAAAGCGATCGAACTAAAATCTAATCGCCAACTGCTGTCGAAGATCAGTTGAGTTTCGTACCTATGCGAGCGCTGTCGCATCTTGGCCTTGGCTTCACAATACCCAAAATGCAGTTTTCGCTTCTGTGCGCCGCGCTGATCGCATGCGGCGCCGTTTTCGCAGAGGCACGCGTGCGCGGCAGGCTGTACGACGAGGAGAAGGATACCATTGTGGAGCTGCCCAAGCTGGGCGCCATTCAGGGCAAAATAGTGGAGACCGCTTGGAGCAAGCGCGAGGTGTTGCAGTTCGTGGACGTCAGATACGCTGAGCCGCCCACGGGACAACATCGCTTCAAGGTAGGCAGCCAAAAGGTTCATATACTCAAGACCCAGAAAAAAAAGGAACTTAAAATAGAAATTTCGTTCACTTAGCTCTTAGTTCGAACCCACCTATCCTTATACTTAAGCTACTCACCAAGTTTAACCTAACTGAGACATTTTAAGTATTATTTATGTGCATAATAAATTCCTCATTAAACTAATCTTTATTCAGCATACATAAATATTTTATAGTTTGTGCCAAACAAATGATTCATATAGAAATTTTCGTAAATGTTTTAGGGTATCTTTGAGTCAGCTGATGCAAAAAAAAGTTTCTCTAACGATCATAAATAATGCTAGACGTTCGGTACTATTTCGTCGACTCGACTCTTTAGGTCGCCGAGCATTTCACCCAAAGCCTTAAGCCATTTGTAAGCAAAGTTATCTCAACGAAAACGTTCACGCAGCTCATAAATATTTATTTGAGCTAAGACCTAATCAGAGCCAAGTTTGCTGGCAACATCTTTAAGGGGCAAGAGTCGTTAAGATGCGAAATTTTGCCTGATTGGTAAACAATAAATTCCATGCACTAATTAAGGCAGAGCTTATTATTGTTCGTGCAATAAATCCAACAATCATCTCCTTCTAGCCACCGCGTCCCATTGAGCCCTGGGAAGATGTTATGGATGCGACAGCGGAGAAAATTGGCTGTCCGTCTGTCGTGTCGCTGGACGCTCTGCAAAAGCTGGACGATGTGCTGGATGTCGAAGACTGCCTTACGATGAGCATAACCACACCGAACGTGACTGGCAACCTGCCGGTGCTGGTCTACATACACGGCGAGTATCTCTATGAGGGCAGCAACTCAGAGGCGCCACCCGACTATCTGCTGGAGAAGGATATTGTGCTGGTGACGCCACAGTATAGACTGGGACCGTTTGGCTTTCTCTCGACCAAGACTGATGAGATACCCGGCAATGCCGGCGTTCTCGATATCTTCTTGGCACTGCAGTTCGTGAAGCACTTTGTTAAATATTTTGGTGGTGATGCGAGCCGCATCACGGTGGCTGGACAGGTGGGTGGTGCGGCCATAGCGCACCTGCTTACCCTTTCGCCGATGGTGCAGCGCGGCCTGTTCAGTCAAGTGATTTATCATTCTGGCTCGGCCATTATGCCCATTTTCCTGGAGGACAATCCGCGCAAGCATGCCCAGGAGATTGCCCAAAAGGCCGACTGCCAGATGGTAACTGTGCGCGATCTCAATAAATGCCTAATGGAGCTGAGCGCCTTGGAGCTGTTGAATGCATTCATGGACCATGCGGTAGGTGAAATCTTACTTTCTTTATACCTCTTATTCAGCTCAATTAATTGTTGGTAGGTTGAGAAATCTGATCTGGGCATTGGTCACACGGGCGGCATACAGTTCACAATTGGCGGTCCCAGCGGGGTGCTACCCAAGCACCCGTATGATCTCATGCTGGAGTCGAACTTCTCCTACCCCGCCATGGGTGGCTGCCCCAAGAATGCGGGCACACGTGTGCTAAATGAAATCGTGGAGAACGACTTTGAGGGCAAAATACCAGACGATGATTACAATACCTACAACTATATCGATCACGTCATTCGCCAGGTGGTGGGCACCGATAAGACCATGCTGTTGACCAGCTTTGTCACCCACGACTTCTTCAATCGCCAGCTACTTGAGAACGGAACTTTCGACACGCTCATTCCACGGCTAATTGATGTGAGTAGAAGTCCGCAACTCCAATAACTCGTGTATGCTAGTGAGACTTCTCTTTCAGGTGGCGGGCACCTTAAACCACAAGCTGCCAGTGCTGCTGGCCCTTAATATGAACAACAAACACAATCCGGAGAACACGTTTCTCTACTCCTTCGATTACGCGGGCGAGTTCAATCGATATCGCGACATGGACGAGGAGACGAACATGCAGAGTCCCTTTAAGGCTGGCGTCTCACTCACCGATGAGGCGCTCTATCTGTTCCCCTATCCCGATCATGTGAAGCGCCTAAGCCCTCCCGATATGACAATGGCCCATCGCATGGTCGAGCTATGGACGAATTTCGTAATTACCGGCAATCCGCTGGGCTCCTATCGGTCCGGCTACTGGCCGCCCATGACTACGCTCTACGGTCCTTACATGAAGATCGACGAGACGTTGACCATTGGCGGCAACTACTTCAACGAGTTCTCGGCCACGCTGAAGGACGAGGACCAGGGCCACAGTCTCATACGTGAGATTTACTATTTACGCAATCGCGCACGCCACAAGGTCCTCGGCCAGGCCCAGCGCAGGAAGCAAGCGGCAAGCAATCTCAAAAAACTAGAAGTGCGAAAGAGTCTCATCAAGCGTCCCAATCGAAACAAGATACGTTTCTAGGATTGGGACTAATTAGTTAACCAGTATTTCTAATAAGAATTGAAAACGTATTTAAAATATAATTATTATATTGAAATTTATTGAAGTCAACTTGAAGTTGCTCTATTAATGTGTTTATTCAAATCGAAATGGCAGAAGAAGGCGTGGCAGCTAACATCAAGTAAATATACCTCTATATGCTTGAACAGGAAGACAAGCTAATTCGATCTAGCCACGTTCGTCTGCTTAGCTATCTAGCTGCAAGCTATTAGCTGTTACCTTTTAGCTGTTAGCTCTTATCTGATAGCTTTAGCTTGTAGCTGTTAACTTTAAACTGTTAGCTTGTAGCTGTTAGCTAGTAGCTTTTAGCTGTTAACTTCTAGATGTTATCTTCAAGCTGTTAGCTATTAACTGTTAGCTTCTAGCTGGTAGCTGTTAGCTGTAAATTTCTAGATGTTAACTTCTAACTGTTAGCTGTTGGCTGTTGGCTATTAGCTTTTAGCTATTACTTTCTAGATGTTATCTTCTAGCTGTTAGTTATTAACTGTTAGCTTTTAGCTGTTAACTGTTAATATCTACCTTTTAGCCGTGTGTCAATTTCCAATTCAAAGTGAAATCAAATATAAAAATTCAATACCTAAAACATTAATAATTTATTCATACACAAACTTTAATACATATTCAAAGTTTGGTACAGCTATTCATCTGATAATTCGCAAATGAAATGACACTTTTCCTCGCAACTTAAGTCATTCATTACGAACTCTGTGCTTAACATATGAATGCAATTTTCACCTTTTAAACTATTGGGTTCCTTTTGATTCCAGCGCAGGAATTTGGCTTTCAGACCAGTTGTTAGCGATTGGTAAAACCCCTCCAAGCTAAGGTCATTGATATCAGTCCAATACAATTTCTGAGCATCCAAGAATGGAATGATCGCATTCAGCTCTTCCTGATCATTTAGCTCTACCAGATGGGCGCCAAGTGCGATGCATTTGTGTGCAGCGGCAAACCAATTGAGCGGCGTTTGTTGCTCAATGTAGTAAAACTTGGATCCGATTTGCTGGAACGGTTTGTGGGGAACTTTTTTGCGTTTGGCCATTAAGTTTTCTTGCTCCGTTACTTTTTGCTTTACTTCCTCGATTGTGCTGCTAAATCTGGTTGACGTCTCTGCCTGTGTAGCCAGCTGACCTTCGATCTTATCCAGCCTGGACGCCGCATTCGCCAATTTGTTTGCATCGCAGGTCAACCAAAGATTCTTCATGACATACAAATGGTCCAGCAACGGCTGCAATGCTTTGAAACAATATGCTTCACACTGGTTCTGCGAGTCGAAAGGTGTCCTCTCTGATTGCTGATAATGTTTGGGAAATACCTTTGCTAAATATATTTATATATATATATATAGATTGACCTACCACATTGTTCAAAGATCCCAATAAGATGCACATCAAAGTAACTAAGAAGTAAAATTCCATTCCGGACTGATCTGAGCTCTGTTTAAAGATGATTTTGCCTTAAATAGCTTTTTCTATGTAAAATAATCTTATACAGTGAAGCTCGAATAAGACAAACTTGTAAATTATATCAATATATAAAATCTATGGATTGAACTAAACTTTGTTTGAGTAAATACATACAAATGTGTTCAGTGAGTGCATCAATAGTGTATATAAAGTATAAAGTATATATATATATAGATATATATATTTATATATATACATACAATACTTGCAATAGAAGTAGTCATTCAGCATGCAATAATAATTCATGTCGGAAGATTGTACTTGGTCGCCTTATCAGCAGAAAAAATATATAATTGATAATGATCCCGGGAAACGAATATTAACAAAATATAAAAAAAATAAATACACGTTTTGCAAGTCTTATAAATGGACTGCAGAGTTATTGGAGTGCTTTAGCTAACGGTCGAACTCCATCAAACATAAAGAGACAATGGAAGACTTAAGAATAAATTAAGATTCATCATAATAGAAGAAAGTTTTCTCTTATAATTTAAGCACTTCTGAAATTAATTTTCGGAATAATAAATTCTTCAATATTTATTAGTTTTATTTGTATATGTATAAATAAAATTATTTGTGAGTCGTGCAATTTAGTGTTGTACGCGTGTCGATTTTCTAGCTATGAAAACCAGGTTCTGGCCACGCGCCTCGGTGGCTCCGGCCTCATCGTTGGTTTGCTCCTGCTCCTCGTCCTCGTCTATCTCGGCTTCAGCTGGCTCTTCCTGCTTATTGAGGGCATCACGCAGCACTGCCTCGAGTTCATAGTAGTCCTCATTGACGAGGTTATAGCCATGCTTCACTTCCTGCACCCCAATGCTATATTCGTCCAGGTAATTGTCGCCAAAGCTAACTGTACGTCCGATATGCATGTACGGACCAGTTTCGTCATTCATTGGGGGCCAGGCGGGCACACCCTCCGCCATGGGCACACCGTCGGCCGCAAAGGAGGTCCAAAGGGCCACCATGCGTTTGGCAATCTTGACATCGCTGTTGGCGTTCAGCATATTAATGCGCGGCCAGGGAAACAGATAGAGATTCTCGTCGGTCAGGCTGACGCCCATGTCGAAGGGCACATCGATAGCCTCTTCCTCGCCGGTGGCATAGCGATTCAGCTCGCCCTCATAGTCAAAAGTGTACAGGTAAGTGCTGTTCGCCAGCTTCCTGGCATTGGCCTGGAGTACCAACAGCACCGGGTTCTTCAGCGCGATCGTGCTACAAAGCTAGGTAAGGTAAGGCAAAGCACAATATAGGAAATCTATTTGCGATTCTGTTCAGCCCACATTGCAGTTGTAGCAACTCACATCGATTAGACCCGGTGTTAGGCGCTTGAAGCTACCATTCCGAATGTCCTCGGCACTGAAAATATACTCTTCGGCGAACTCCCGCCAAGAGCTCGTGGTATCGGCGCCATTAATCTGCTGAATAATTGTTTCAATGTACTTCTCCCCGGTCATCTTGTCATCTGTAGTGCTCTCATTAAAGCTATCCACGAAGAGATCTATAAAGAATGCAACAAGGGGTATCAAAGCCTTCATCTGCCTATTACCTAGTTGGACTCCACGGTATTACTTACCCCTCATCAGGAAGGTGCCGCCGTGCTTGACACTGCCACCCAAGGTGGGATAGGCTGTAAAATTCTCGGCGGCGAGCAGTCGACCCGGATGCTCTGGCAGAATGCCCGATGGCCCGCCAATGACCAGCTGGACGCCACCGTACGCACCGGAGGGCACCAAAGGCTTCTTTTCGCCAAAGACACTGAAGGCAGCCAGCAGCATGGTGGCGTTCATGCGATTGAAGCACTTGTGCAGTGCGTCCGACTTGGTGAGCTGCTTGCAGCCGGCAATGCGTGCGATTTCCTTAGTTGTCGTCAGTGGGGAATCTGTGATGAAGGCCGGAGATAGGGCTGTGCCAGACATATAGATGACACGATGGAACAGGTTCGCTGGCACAGCCGGGCTCATCGTGAGCACATTAATAAGCGCCGCTCCGCCCACCTGGCCGAACAGAGTCACTCGCTCTGGATCGCCACCAAAGGCCGTAATGTGTTCATTGATCCATTGCAAGGCTAAGATGAGATCTGTCACCGCCGCATTGCCGGGCATTTCATCGCTCAGCGTGGACAGGAAGCCGAAGGGACCCAGTCGATAGCGCACCGACACCAAAACCACATCGCGCTCCAGCAGATAGCCAGGTGCAGCTTCCACAGTGTCGCCGTCATAGAAGAAGTCGCCATGTACATAGACCATGACAGGAGCCAGTTTACCTTCCAGCTGCGAAGAGGTTCATTATCTATGATAGTCAAATGGATTAAGTCCAGGCAAACCCACCGATTTTGTGCTGACTGTCAAGCGCAGACAGTCTTCAATATCAATACCGTTCTCCTCCATTTTGGCGAACTTGACCAAATCCTGTATAGAGGGACAGCCGGCATGATGACGATGTGCCTGCAGAATGCCCTTCCAAGACGACGTGAGTTCCGCCGGCTTTTAAGGGCGTATGAGAAACATAATAAATTAGTATAAGGCAACTCTATATTATGAGCCATATATGATCAAGGCATAAAAAGATTTCAGAAGTTTTTAACAGCTCTCGAAAATGGATAACATTTATGAACAAATATATTGAAAACTGTTTTCGAACAAGTTTCAAGTGATTTTTAAAGAATCTTTTTGAGTACGGCAAGGAACACTTAAGGACTTTGGCCAGAAATTACTTCAGGTCATTTAAAGCAAAGTTAAAAAATTTTTATTTGCTTTCCGAATTTCCCAAATTCAGATTCTCCCTGCCTAAAATGAAAATAAATATTAGCCCAATTGCTAGTAAATTTTACCTTAAAACGCTCCGCTTTGCCATAGGGAATGTCTAGGAACTGCATAGCTTTCTGGCCTGTCCATTCCGTGAGCAAGGTGCGACCACGAATCTTGCCCAGCTCCGGCAGCGTTGTGGTAAACACCCTGGAGTTGGGCTTACTTTGCTGTTGCTTATTGGGCCTTGTATTTTGGGGTCTTTGCGCCTGGTGTGGCTGGGGGCGCTTGTTGGGGTTTACCGGCTTGGGCCGCTGTTGCTGTTGCTTCTTATTCTTTTGAGCCGAAGCGCTGCTGATGGCAGCCAGAGCAAGGAGCGCCACCAATAGCAGCAAGACAATGCTGCGTAGATTTGCCATGATTTGACCCGTTGCCGTTACGCGTTCAAAGGTAACTGTTGACCAGATTGGTTGGCAACTAAAAACGAAGACTTTCGCAACGCGTCTCTGGACGCCGGCGTCATAATTAAGTATCTCTTAACCGGGCACCTGGCGGCGGTTCTATTTTAGATGAGTGCTCGAGCGAAATGGGGTCAAGTCGCCGTCAACAATTCGACTCGAGCTCCCTTTGCCAGCCACAAAGATTCTTAATCTAATTCGATATTCGCAAATACAGATTATGAATATTTATCAAGTTGATTGCCAAGCCAGAACTCGTTTGCCCTAAGGGGCGCACGTTAAGAGTTTCTTCTACAGATTATACTTGATTTTGAAAGTAAAAAGCCGAGACCAAACTAATTCTTGACCCCTTTTAGACAAATATGCTGACAGTATATGTAAATAACTATCTAACGATTAGGCTATATGCAATCTACTCCGGCGAACATAATAATAGTGTTTACCTGTAAGGTAAACTTACTTAATTACTCCACAGAATTCGTATTTGTAAACAATATAGAAATACTGAAATAAGCATTTGCAAGCTTCAAGTTTATCTACATATATTTGTATTACATTCGTTAATACTTTATTAATAAGTTAAACAATAATGTTAAATAATAATTAAATATTAAAATGCATTAGTCTAGATGTATGTAAGATGGCATATACTAGCTTAAAAAACGCACAAAAACAATTGCATTGAAATGCGTAAGAATTGTGTCTGCTTCTTGTCCACAGAGAGAACGAAATATTGGGCAAGCTGTAAAAATGTATTTGGGTAACAATTTAAAAATATTTTATATATTTTTTGTTGTTGTGCCAATGCAGAAGAATGAACAAACCGGCAAACGGCAGAAACAGCAGCAGATCAATATATGTATGTTTGAGGAACACCTGACAGTGGGGGATTTTGTGAGTGTATAGGCGTGTGTCTGTGTGTGAGCGTTGGTGTATCGCACACACAATATATATTTATATGTAATATAAGCGCACAACCGATTTTGTGATGAGTGTTTCGTTGTCATAGAAACTGGTTTGAATTGTCACATTGCCATTTAAGACTTTAGCGGGCATCATTTGGGATTCGGGCGCTGCTTCAATGGTGCTCTGCCATGTGTTGGTGGTGTTGGCGCCCACGAAGCCCATCTCGAAGAACCACTCTTCCATGATGCGACCCTTGAAGAGGACCTTCTGGTCGAGCCGAAAGTTTTCCATTGACTCAATCGTGCTGAAATTGATCTCTCGTGATACGGCGCGCATGTCCAGAATTTTAACTGGCACTCGCGCTTCGTGTTCCACGTCTGGTGCGGAAAAGTCTTTATTCTCCTGCCAGATGACTTTGCCGGTGTCCGCATCTCGCAGTATCATGTAGTTAATCTGAAATCCCTTTTGGATTTTGTCGCCTGCGCTGAGGTCATCGGATCCCATTTTGAAGCCACTATTTGTGTCACAACCAGGAGGGAGATTTCTTTAATTAAATTCGCTTTTTGCAGACCAGATTATATTTGTGGAAATAATCAATGTTTATTTTTAATACTAATTATGTGCGTAGCAGTATATTTGATTTTGAAAAATACATATGTACGTGCAGCCGTATTCGCAAGCAGCTGGCTCAGCTGTAATACAATCGATTACTTGTGTCAGCAGGAGACTAGTGTTGTTAAACAGGCTTGAATCTATCGATAGGTGTCATGAAGGCAAACTTTAAAATATTCAATTAGTAATATAAATTCGAGTGTACCTGAAAGTTTCTTTCACATCCATTCAAATAGTATCAAACTCACAACCCGTGTCAATCAAATTTACTTTTAATTATCGCGTATATAAGCTGATCCGTTTTATGTTACATCTCTGTTAGTGTAAATGCTTTGAACCACTCAGCGGCTGTTAATTTCAAATTCAATCTAATAGTAGGTGGTCGCTGTAATGCACGTGCCTTATCGCTGTATTGCTGTTAGAATTCTGTTAAAAAAATACCAGTATCACAGTAAATAAAAAAAAAAACAGCTAAAATTGGTGTTTGTATTACGTGGACTGCTTGGCTTTCAATTTCATTTTCATTGTTCAATTGCGCACAATCGAAGAATAGTAGCGCCTCGATAAGAGCCGGCGTAATTGCTTAATACACTTGTCGCTCAAGCACTTACGTAGAAAGTGATAAATTACCAAAAATGGTCGATGTTATCAAGAAAGGTGCACTGTTTCTCATGAATCAGAAGTGCTATGATAACTACGTTATTGATCACAATTTTCTCGATGGTAAGTTGGATGCACTGCTTACGTTATTCTAGCAGATGGTTAATAAATGAATTTTAATTTGCAGTTCCGTGCTTCAAGGCGCTACTGAGTAAAGGTCTCGGCATCGGCATCATCGCCGGCTCGGTGCTGGTGAAAGTGCCGCAAGTGGTGAAGATTCTTAACAGCAAATCTGGCGAGGGCATTAACTTGATGGGCGTAATGCTGGATCTGCTGGCCATCACATTCCACTTGTCGTACAACTTTATGAACGGCTATCCGTTCAGCTCCTGGGGCGACAACACTTTCCTCGCCATCCAAACGGTGGCCATTGCGGCGCTAGTCTTATTCTTTGGTGGACGAAAGCCACATGCGTTTATATTTGTAGTAGCCTACGCTATACTGCTGTATGTACTCAATTCAGGGCTGACATCCATGAAGGTGCTGTTCACCATACAGAGCTGTAATATACCCATTCTTCTGGTGGGAAAATTATCTCAGGCTTTGACCAACTACAAAGCCGGCTCCACGGGTCAGCTGTCGGCGGCCACTGTCATAATGATGTTTGCCGGATCGGTGGCACGCATATTCACATCCATACAGGAGACAGGAGATCGGATGATTATCATCACGTTCATCGCCTCGACCTTTGCCAATGGTGTCATTTTCGCTCAGCTGCTTTACTACTGGAACAAACCTGTAAGTGGGGCTATCAAGCAAGACGCTTCAAAGGTCAAGAAGGCGAAGACCAAGAAAGATGACTAAGTTGTAATCGCATAGCATTAAATTTAACAGTTTCTCGACATGATTGAACAAATATCACAAATAAATAAATTTATTATTAGCAATTGTAATAAGTAGTCATCGCGGTTTTTTATTATTTTTCGTTTTGAAAGTGATTTCGCAGCAAATCCAACGCCCTGAACCGATGCGAAATTGTATTCTTCTCTGATTTGGGCAGTTCAGCATAGGTTTTATCGTAACCTTTGGGCTGGAACACTGGATCCCTGTGGACAAGCAAAATGAATATATTTGATCAATTTCACTTGCTATTCTTTCAAATACGAACCAGCCAAAATCGCGCGGACCACGCGGCTCCACAATAGTGCCCTCTGTAATGCCCTGAAAGATTTTCGGCTCTGCCACGGAGCTCTCACAATACGCAAATGTGCAAACAGCACGTGCAGATTTATCCTCCCAACCACTCAGCATTCGATGCAGTCCCTCGGGTTGCAGCTTCTCGAGAAACCACTTAATATACGGACCAGGCAATCCCTCTAGCGCATTAAAGCACAGACTGGTGTCCTCTATTAGCACTGGACCATCCACTTGACGAGCTGCTTCCTTACATTTCTTCACCGCAATCTCATCAATCTCTCCCTGTAACTCTGGCAAATCAACCTTTTTTGAGATGACCGTGCGTGGAAAATTAGGCCCAAGTATGGCGACCAGTTCCTCCAATTTCTTAGCATTGCCCGTCACAAAAGTAATTGGTTTCGACATGCTCATCTATTGTTGCAACCAATTTAAATAATTTGTACGCAGTGGCTGCTGCTCCGGCACATTCCAGCGATGAGTCGATAGGTTGCGCCATCAGCTGATCACAATAGCCAAAAAGACGGGGTCGTTATGCATTTGAATAAGCCAATTGCACCAAGAAGCTATTTGGCAACTTTTCTAAACGAATTGACAAGAAAATAGAACGCTGTTTTAATGTTAATCTCTGTGAACAGTTTTTTTCCGTAACGAAAATATAAAATAGCTATAGCTATTTATATAGCTCTATTTTGGCGAACCACACTTTTATTGGGTCCGATGTCACTTAAAGCTAATAAACTTAAGTACAGTATAGACTCCCTTATCCGGAAACTTACAAGAACGAAAATTTTGCTATTATCTGCCTTTTTAGCAAATTTAAAGTTGAAATGAAGTTGACAAATATTAGATCAAGTTATACAATAGCTTTAAAAGTTTTTTGTTTCTGGTTCAGACAATTTTTGAAATCTGTTACTAGGGAGAATACACTGTAATGCAATAAAAAAGTTTATAGACATCATAATACCCTTTCCGTTTAATTGGTAACGGATAAACCTTTTTCAACTTTTAAGTTTCGCATTATACTATAATATAAAATAATTTTTGATTTCGTATAATAAAATCTAGTTAAGCTAAATTAATAGAATTATTTTTTTTATATTTTTTATAATTTTTTAAAAATAACAATTTCAACATTTTCAAATGCATACATATAGTAAAAAAGAAAACAAAATCAAATTGAAATAAGTTGGCTGAAGAAGCTAGAGAAAAGCTCCCCATCCAATGTACATGGAAGCGAGGTTATCCACTTTAGTGGCCTCATTAATCAAGTAGTTGACCTGCCCCTCTGTCGATAGGGGTATGCTGTTGGCCTGCTGTCGCTTGACCTGGTCAAAGTAATAATTGGATTAGAGTTCTTGAGCTAGTTAGGGATCTGGAAAAGCTACTCACATGTCCCTGCAAGCGCTCGGCAATGCGCTGCACATCGTTTGTGACCTTAGGATCGGTCAACTCGGCACCGTTTTTGTTCCGGTTGCTAGACGAGGCCATGAGACGGCTCTGGATCGGGCCCAAATCGTAGACGAACGGCCGCAGCATGGACATGAGCGTTTTGGTCTCCTGCTTAAGGAGTCGCAGCGTTATCTCACAGCACTTGCGAAAGCTGCCCTCCACGCCTAACGGACCCATGGCCGTGATCATATTATGGGTGAGGCGAAAGGGAACCACCTCGGGATAGGCAAATGCCTCGCCTTGGTTGAACAAGCAATTGAAGTCCACGTGCACCGCATCGCCATTGCGTTCGTCGAAGAGTATATTTTCACCATGGCGATCTCCCAGGCCCAGGATATAGCCCACCATTGACATGACAGCCACCGTACGTATATACGAGTTGCGGGCCTCGTACCAACTGTGAGGCGTGGTGAAGCGCTGCAGGAGCCATTCCTGAAACACGGGCGGGTGGGCCGGCAGCAGCTGCTTAAGAAAAACGGCCCGCTTGCGCTCAATCGGCTCAGTTTGTGGCAGAGCTAGCTGTTGCAGCTGGCGGCCGCTCATCACCTGGCCACGCTGCATGTACAACGCAATACAAATGCCGCGATATGAATTGAGATTCGGCAGCCACTCGAGCAGACCGCACTCCTCATTGAATGGCAGCACGGCGTAGGTGCGTATGTGTAGACGACGCTGGCGGGCACGCGCATCCTGATGTAGATAGCGTTTCATCAGCCCATTGAACTCCATGAGACGTGCATCTTTGCGCAAATCGTCCTTGGGCTTGACCATGATATCATAGTTCTGTCCATCGCTGCAGCGTATGGTCAGCTTTTTGGGACGCGCCGCCGAACGCAGCACGAGCACCTTCTCCTGGAAACCAGTTATATAGATATGCTTATAAGGAAACCAATTGCTCGTTGACAATTTGTTAGCGCCAGGAGTGGACGAGGGAGCATTATCCTGCGCCGAGGATATGTTGAATGTCGGCTGCATATACTTTTCAAAGGGCAGCATTATGTTGGAGAAGTTCGCCTGGCTGCACAGCTGCGGCAATCGTTTGTCCAGATCGCTTAGCTTATAGCTGCGATCGAGCGTCACCTCCTTGTTGGTTACGCAAATCAGTCGATCCGTTAGAGTATTGAAATCGCTCAATAAACGTTGAAATTCCGCGTTCTGCAGCCTTTCATCGGTGAGTATCGAATTACAGCGCTTGACACGATTCACGGTGGCGGACTTGAAGTGGGGCAACAACATCCAGAGTGACTGCTGCGGATACTCCCGTATCAGCATGATAATCACAGTGCGCAGCACAGCAAACACCTCGGACGAGGGGTGACACAGTCGGCTCAGCATTTGCGAATACGCCGTATAAAATATGCCCGTGGACAACGCCGTGCAGCAATTGTTGAGCAAATCATTCATTTTGCGCACCAGCTCTGCATGGGTAGTACTGGCCTCGGTCGTGGCTGCCGTATCCAGCCAGAGGCTGATCAGGCGCGGCATGGACTGGTAGACATGATCACTGCCATAGCGTAAGGATTTCGCATAGTTAACCATAATTTGCAGCAGCAGCTCCTCGCTTTCGCGTGTCTGCGCATTGGCAGTGCCAGTGGCTCGCGCCTCACGCATCTTTTCTAGAAATTGGGCCAGCTGCACGTAGCAGCGCTCCGACTGACGATGCACAGCAATGGCCTCCTGGAAGTACTTGAGTATGGCTTCAGCGCATAGATTCATTGAGTCCGCATTGTATGTGGCCTGCAGGTACTTCCCCTCAAAGTAGAGCTGACGCTGTTCGCCGCTGAGCTGCTTGACGTTCCCTTCGCATTGCTGTCCAATGGCCGACAACTGTTCTTCGAGGAAATTCATGGCCTGCACCTGATCGCCCTTTTGCCACAGCAGCTTGGCGCGCTCTAGGAAAAGACGGCTAGGCTTGTACTCTGCCGCCTTCATCAGGTATAGATGGGCGCGCTGCAGTTGGCCGGCATTGAGATTGATTTGCGCGCTGTTAAGCCACAGCTGGGCCAGCTGTGTTCGAAGTTGTGCCTGCAGTGGAGCACGATCGCCCAAGCGTCGCTTAAGCTCTGCGAGTAGATTACGTCGAAAGCTGTAAATGGGCTCCAGCACACGCAGCTGCGGCTGTAAAATCTGCAATCGGGCTTGCCAATCGGCAAAGTAGTTGTGCATCAACTGTGTCTGCTCCTGCTCCGTCTCTGCCGGCTGTAGCGCTGTCAACTGATCCACTAGCTGCTGGCTGCACTGCAGCTCGTGCAACATATGTAGTTTTAGCACATTGTCATATGCATGCGCGTAGGAATGTTGCTGCAGGGCTGTGCAGCTGCGCAGCTGATCAAGCACCGAGCAGCGCATAGTATCCAGCATCGAGTCAAACTCAATTTTTGTAGTCGTCGGTTGCCTTAGGGCCAGGCATGCCTGGGCGCATTGAGCATGCCAGTTGGGCTTGCTGCGTCTCTGTTCCTGCTGCTCGAGCTGTAGCTGCTCCAGTTCATCATAGCTGCCCAGCCGCCAGAGCAGCTCCGCTTTACACTCGCTGAAATACTGATCCGTGTGTCTATCTGACAGCCGCTGCGAGAGGCCGTCAGCAATGAGCAGCGCCGTCTTGGGTGTGTCCATGCGCAAGTAGGCATCGATAATGGCTCGTATGTGCTCCGGCTGGAGTTGCTCTGTGCTCGACAGCAATTGCTCATAGCATGTTATCATATCCTGTTGGCGTTCCACCAGACGATTCACAAGAATTTCCTGAGTGATGCTCATGTCGCAGCTGCGTGTCTGGACTGCCCCCTCCACGGAATCGGAGTCCATCAACCGTCCATAGAGCTCAACGAGAAATGTGAACTGTTCCAGCAACCGCGTCGCCTTGTCGTCTTCTATATAAGCTTCCAGATAGCGTAGAGCTCGCGCGTATTCGCCACAGTTGTAGCTGGCGCGTGCCACACGCAATTTATCTATGCGCTGCACGAACTCGTAGATGGCACCATAGTTGGCGTCAACGTTTTGGGGCGGCTTGCCGCCCATGCTTAGGCCATGTTGACGTTGCCATTCGCGCAGCCAACGTTGAAGAAAGTCCAAAAGCTCTGCACAGAGTTTACCCGCCAAACGGGATTGATCCTCAGCACTGGAGCCAGGTATGGGGCCATCATTATTTGATTTAGTGGCGGCTCTATAGTGCTCAGCCTCGATGAGCTTGTGGCCGCCAGTGTTGAGTGTTGCTGAAGTTGGTTCAAGAACAGCTTTCGCTGGTGCAGTTACTTGTTTGGACAGCTCTTCATTGGCCTGCAGCACCGCTTGGAACTCCTCCTCAATGCGGCCACGTTGCTCTGGATTGCACTCGAGCAACGCATGCAACAAAATATAAGGATAGAATGTGCTCAGCATATTGGAGTCGCGCCTTATGCAGGGCTTATAGGAGCTGAGCAAATGACGCGTGTCCGAGGACTGCACGTAGTCAACAAGCCGCGAAGCCCAGAGAAACGCCCACTGCTCGTAGGAATTATGTGTGTACTGGCTGCCAAAGAGCGGCTGTTGTGTCAGCGTGCTGGGGCGCTGAGAGCAGGTGTAGCAGGAATTGAGCAATGGTTCCATAATCTCGCGCATACGCACGGGCAGAGATTGCCAAAGCTGTAGCTTCTTTTGCTCCTTGGGCGCAATACCGCAGACGGCGAGCGTTTCCTGTATGGCCAGCGAAAAGCTATCCACATGTTTCGTCTTCAACTGGAACTGATAGCCTCGACAGAGTGCCGTTAAAGCTAAAACTGTAAAGTCGTCCGTTAGGACGCTCAGTGGGAGCTGCTGGTCACTGGCATAATTGTAATTTGAAGGCAAATAACTGGCATCGATAGCACCCAGTTCACCCAGGCACTTGGCAGACGCGAGCTGCAGCGAACGATCATCATGCTGGCTGCCAGACATTAGGATATTGACTATCTGCTCCATAAGCGGTTCCATGGGCAGCTTGTGTAGTATCATGTGATAAAGTTGGGTGCGACGTCGACCGAACAGCTCAGCCATATGCTCTAGTCCATAGACACGCACCTGCAGGCACTCGTTAGTGATTTGCTTATGTAAAAAGCGCAGCTGATCCAGCAGCGGAGCTTCTTCCTCGTCTGCCACTGGGCCTCTAAGGCACAGCTGCGCTGTATGTCGCTTAATGCACTCACGTATAGGCGTCGACACGTGATCTAGGCGTTCCAGAAAATATAAATCTATCATAAGAGTATAAATGTGATTGCAATCAACAGGAATTCATTATTTGATTTAGCTACCCACCTTGAATGTAGGTGCCCAACATGGAAGCATTGCGTAGTATGACAAATTCGTAGAGCTCATTGACCTGATCTACGCTGTAGGCAAGTAGAGGTTGCAACGTGGCTACAATGCGACCCAGTGACGGACCCAGCTCCTGTATGTTTACAACATGAAGGAATATGTGCCAAATCTTCAAGCAAATGCGCTGCAGGTTAGGCTCTTGTAGCGTGTGCACGAAACTCAACATGGCGATGATCTTAAAGCGAAATTGGGTGACATGTTGAGGGCCAACAAATCGAAGAATCTGTCCCAGACTGTAAAGTGTTTCCTCCTTCAATGGCTTCTCGAAGGTGGGCTCCGAAAGGCAACTTTCAAAATAGGTAATGACCCCGAGTATACGTTCCGCAATAAACGTGGAGAACTGAGCATTGGTCGCCTGCGTGGACGTGCTCTCGTTGCAATTGCTAAGCTGCAGCAGACTTTGAAAGGACCGCATCACAAAAGTTGGATTGCGATTAAAATAGATAAGCAGCTCGGCCACAGTTTGCTAAAGCAATCGAAAAATAAGTAAGTTGAGTTGAGTGAGGATACGAGGATTTTCAACACACCTTTACATCGGCATTCATTAGTTCCTGCACTGTGGATTGCGTGCAGCTGGCCACCAGCTCGATGCAACGATTGGCAATCTCTGGCGGCTCACTGAGATGGACGTGTGCGTAGAGACGCAGAAACGACGTAGAAAATAACAAAGCAATTGGCTTCTGCACATGCTTGGCTATAAGCACAAAGACGCCCTTACAGCGTGGCTCCTTAACACAATAGGGCAGTATTAAAGCGGTCAGCAGGCGTTGATATTTGCAGATGAACTCCTGCACGCATGAGAAGTCTAGCATCCTGCTGAGCTATAAAGGAAATCACGGATCAGCTTTGATTTTCAAAATATACAAAGACTCACCGCTCGTAGGGAGTGCGTAAAGCGTACGCCTTCCGTCAAATAGCCGCGCAGTGCCAGCTGCACGACCAAACCGAGTGCATCGCGTTTGTACCAGTTCCACAGTGTAAGCGGCTGTAGCTCATGGCGTGCGCACATCTGGCAAGCGGCGAGCACAGCTTCCTGGGCTACCAGCGAACGCGTGTGCACCAGAAAAAAGAAGGTCATCTTGAACCAGTGAAATAGCCAAAGCTCATCCATCTCCGGATGCGCTGCGCATACGATCACACGCAACAGTTTTAGCTGCTCCTCCTCGCTCTGTGCATCCAAAGGCTTAGCTAACGTCTCCACAACCCAACTAAGCACAAGACTTGCCAACTCCTGCATGAAGTCTGTCGATTGAGCTGCCAGCACGGGCACAAGTCGTTCGAAGCTGCGTTCATTGAGTGCCTGCAAATTAGTCGATTCCTTAAGCAGGCGCAGACAGAGTGAGGGCTCCAATTTGACCACATCCAAGTGATGTGTGATGAAAGTGCATTTGGATTTAAACAGCAGAGCCTCACCGAGAATGCTTTGGCTGCAACTGCTAAAAGGCTTGGCAACAGCAGTGCTCTGTTTACACATGCCTAAATATTGCCCTGGTAATGCGGCAGGCAGCTCTTCGCACTTGGAGCAGTACAATGTAATGCGTTCCTCTGTCTTGAAGACTTGCGCTGCTTCCGGCTGTTGAGTGCACAGCAGCAAACGCAGCACAGCGGCCAAGGTGTTGCCATCTTCTGTAGCCTTCAGTTTGGGCAACATCTGCTGCAAGTTAACGGATTTGATGTAGCCTGCCACATACAACTGAGGTAGATGCTCGCAGATGAGCTGGACTATTTCGCTTTGCTCGGAATTAAGCAACGTTAGACATTTCTGAGCGAAGAAGGTCTGAAGCTGTGTGTGTGCACTGGAAGGGGTCTCCAGCCGCAAAGTGGCTAAGGCAAGCAACGACTGAGTCTTCTTTTCTAGCTCTGATGACTGCAGTGCTCGTTGCAGCACGCCCAGCAGCTGTTGCTGAGTGTGTGGTTTCAGTTGCAGACGCAGGCAAGTGCAGTGCATCAAAAGTGCGCAAATTTCCAAGAACTCCGGACAAGCCAAGCACAATGCGTCCTCCAAAAGCTGTACACTCATAATATTCCAATTGCTGTTAGCATCGGTCTGCAGGGTGAGTTCATGGTGCTGCGGTAGTTGGGCGAGCAGCGCCGCATTAAGCGCCTCATCGCTGGCAGCCACCAGATCTTTTTGGTTGGCCACCAACAGCAGCTGTTCCAGTTGCTTGACCGCACGCAGCACGGCCAACAATTCCGGCAAATTCATTGCGGTCGGCTTAGATAACAGTTGAGCCAGACTCTGGCTGAGGATCAACACGATTTTATCTCGCACTGCAGGCTGCTTGGTAGCAACTGCAGCAAGCAAAAACAGCACTGGTTTAGGATTCCCACGCCACTGGCGCAGCAAGAGCTGCAATGTGTTTTCAGGCAACATTAAATTCGCTTCCTTCAGCTGTTCTTGCAAGTAGTCGCACAGAATCTGAAGCAGGCTGCAACGCCAAGCGCTGGTAGGTAGACACAGCAGTTCGTTCAACATTTGGCAACATAACTCAAGGCAATCCGTATCAGACATCTTTTGCTTTGTAAAAACTAGCAACAATTGCTCGGTATATGTGGCCAACCGCTCCAGTTGCGCCTGCGTCATACATTGGTCTTTCCAGCGGCTGGTCAGGGACCACATAAGAACAACAGCGCGCAGCGTTAGGGATGCATAATGTGTCACAACAATGCTTTTCGACCAACTGGTTGTGGAATGCTCTTGGAGCACTGCATGACAGTAGCTCAGACAAGTTAACTTGGTGTCCATGTTACACTCTTTGAGTGTAAGCAGCGCCTGTTGCAGGCTCTCGGCAAACAGTTCGGTATGTGTAGCACGTCCAATGTGATGTGCTTCCTGTAGCACTAGCAGCAAATACTTAGCGTACACATCCGAGTTCTCTAGCTGCAGTTTGATCACTTGAAACGCACATTCCTCATCGAACTCCTGCAGCATACTAGCATCGCAGAAAAAGATGTTCAAATGCAATGTGCGCAACTCTTTGGAATTCTTGTTGGGATTTGTATAGTCAAAGGCGCTCATTTTATCATAGAGCTGCTGTAACGCCTCCACGTAGGCCTCCACAAGACACTCATAGAGTCTCGGATGGTTGCACCAACAGGATAATAACAGCTTCTGCTGCAGCTGCACATTCTTCAGGCACTGTCTAAATATATCAATTAATACACACATATATATAAGTACGGATTGATCAGTTACCCTTCATCAGCACTTTCGCTTAAATAAACAGACAGCTTGTTTAGAAGCCAAAGCAGAAAAGTCTCCTGGAATTTATTTTTCAATTCGCCCACCGGTGAGCAGCTGATCAGACTCGGATCCTGGCAGAGAATGTCGTCAACCACGCTGTACACAGCGGATAAGTTACCGTGGTTCCGTTTCACCAAATTGTACAGCAATTTCCACATATCTTTACGTCGGTCCGACATATTGCCGAATTTAGTTTTTATACAGATTTAAATATCAAAATGCGAGGGTCGACATTGCCATGCAATATGTTAGTGTTGCCAGACTACGAAACAAACTGTTGCTTCAATTTTACTTGCAGCCGATAACTTGAAAATACCAAAGAAATACACAAAATATCATATGGCAACCAAAATAAAACAGCTGTTGATTTAAAAAAGCTGACAACGGAAGAAATTGTTTTTATATGGCATAATTTACTAATAGATACCAAATTAAAATTAAGCTTATTAAAAATACTGCAGATCGAAAGATCAAATCGAGGGATGTCACCTGAGATAATGAATCTAGCTATTGTCGAACTCTAAATTATGTGTGTAATAGATTTATACCTTATCTTTAGTTTGCGTCATATAATTTGTGATTTTGCACTTAAAACTGTAGTAGTTTTGTTCAATTATAAACTATGACCTCTTAAGCTATCTACACATTTTAATAAATATTTTTCCGTACATGGAAATCGTCACGAGAATGTAATGTAATATTAATTAAATAATAGCCTCAGCAGAGCCAAAGACTAGAAATATGATCCAACCGACCAAATTAATGCCAGCCGCCGCGCTAAAGACCATTGGCCAACTCTGCGTCAGCTCCAGTATGTGGCCTGCCAGGTAGACGCCTAGGAAGCCGGGTATGGCACCCACAGTGTTCATCAGGCCAAATACGCTGCCGGAATGCAAGGGCGCCAAGTCTTGAGGATTCACAGTCACCGCATTGTTGTGGAAGCCTGTCCCGCCAATGATGATAGTCATACAGATTAAAGCCGTGTGGAAGTCCGTGGTGCGGCTCATCACAAAAAGCGCCACGTTTTGCGCGGCAAAGCAACAGCTTTGAATTAGCTTTCGGACTGTCGTTGTGGACCATTCTCTGGCTATGAGCCGTGTGGTCAAGTACTTGGCAAAGAAGGTACATGGCGGCAATGCCAGCCAAGGTATCATGTTGACAACCCAGCCCTTGGCATGGGGAAATCCATCGTGGAAATATGTGGGCAGCCAGGAGAGCAGCACAAAGAAGCAGTTCATTTCGCAGGCATGTGTCAGCACACAGGCCCAAAATGGCAGCCGACTAAAGAAACGCAGCCAAGGCACAGACGTTTCCGTAGGCGCTTTGTTGCCGCACAAGCGCGCAGGTGTAGAGATGTTAATGATCCGGTTTCGGTCCCCAGCCATGGCATAATAACGCAATACCAGCGCCCAGGCGAAGCCCATCAATCCAATCACACGGAACACATACGACCAGCCAAAGTAGTCCAGCACAAAGGACCCCATGATGCCAGTCAAAAGCGTGCCCATTGCCGACCCAGAGGTGAGCAGGCCAAAGAAGCTGCTGCGCTCATTTTGACATAGGTTCTGAAATCAGAAAAAATATATAAGACAGACAGATATGGTTTATTGCAATACTTTACCTGACTTGTCAAGCTGATCATGCTTGGAAAATGCACGCCCTGCAGTGCACCATTAAGAATGCGTATGGTAACAATGATCGGTATCGTATAACTCTTTACTGATGCAGCCGACCAGATAATTGTGGGCATTAAAAATGTGATGATAGACCAGCCAAGGGCAGCAAACAATATAACACGCTGCCCGCCAAAACGATCGCTGAAATAGCCGCCCATCACTTGGGTCAGCGTGTAGCCCCAGAAGAAGGAGCTGAGCACTGTGCCGGAATCGGTTTTGCTCCACTTTTGTGCAGCTGCCACGGCAGGCACCAGCAGCGGCATCGTGGTACGCGTCGAATACAGCATGCAAGTGCCTGTGAGCAGCGTAATGAACCAGACGCGTTTCTCATGCCTGCAGATGAATATAATTTGTAATAAGGAAATTCGATAATCCAACTCGTACTTGCCTGCTCCAAATACTTTGTGTGTCCACAAGTTCGCCGCGCAGCAGCGAATACTTTAGTTTCTCGTCCATTTTGTGCGTATGACGGCTGGTGATGATGGATTGTTGTGTTTACTACTGATATTGAACGCCCCTCACGTCATGCATTTCCGCAGTTGTGGCGGTTGTCGCTTGAGCATTTTTATTATCACAAGAACCCAAAAATCTAGTTCCTTTTCTCTCTATTTACAATAAACTATTTCTTTACTTTTGTACATATTTTGCTATTGGCGTTGGCGTTGGCGTATGCTTTTACGTGGCTACTTTGCTGCTTGGGATTAAACGGTATTTAATGGACTGACAGTGCTCAAGCATTCAGCTTGTCCGATCTACTTGTGCGCTACTTTACAAAAGTGAGCTGTCAAATTAAATATTATATTTACCAATCGGTTGGGCAACAAAATTATAACATAAGTTTTATTATCAATTTAAAATAAAAACAAAAATATGTTGTTAGGACGTCTGATATAATATTTTGAAGTTAGCTTTATAAATTGAAATGCACTGCGAAGCGTACACTTGCCCTTGCCACATATTCTTTCTGAAAACATATGATTTGGCGCTGCCACTCACAAATGGCAGTAGCAGCGCTTTGCAGTGCTGCCAGACCTTTTTTGGCGCGTAAATGTAATATTTCAAATATATTGTTTTAATGTGACAAGAGCCCTGATTATTCTTTGTTATTGAAGTGAAATCTTGTTGGTTTTATGACTACTTAGGTCAGTAGTTAAAATTAAGAATTTCTGTTGTAGGTAAAGAAGTTATGTAGGATGAGTTCGAATTAATTCAATTTTTTTTATTATGTATATAGATATTTAATTCATGTGTAGAGTAGAAGGATAAGACAAATAACGTGAAATAAATATTATAGCAAAGCGCTGATATAAACAGTTACTCGTCCAGCGTGAGATGCACATTTGCGGAGGGATGCAAGCCAAGTTCCTTCAGCGTGGCTTCATTATGCTCCGTTTCGAGAGACTTGCGCGGAAAGGCACAGATCAACTTGTAGCCCTCCAATGGTATGTGCTTGTGCGTTTGTCGTATATAAAGACGTAGAGTTTTTAACTTGGTATCAGACGGCCACCGCAATTGAATGACCTCGTCGCTGCCAGCGGCGTCGAACAGACGCAACTTTAATGCAGTTAGTTCGTCTGTCTGAGAACCCAGTTGAGCTTCATAGGAGATAGCAGCGCCTTTAAGCTCGTCCTCGTCAAACTCCTCTAGGCTCTCGCAGTCACTGGTATTGGCATTGACATTGTTGGTCGCCTTTGTGGTTTCTGCACCTCCGCCATTTTCATTCATGGAGTTCTTGATGGCCAGGGCCAATTGCTCTTCCTCGCTAAGTTCCAACAATTTGGCTCGTTTCTTGGGAATGCCAGTGGTTGAAGAAGAGCATGATGCAACATCTTCCTGATCATCGTCGTCATCGATTTGAATAGATGTGCGTTTCGAGGAGCTTGCCTCTTCAAGAGAAAAGCCACGATGATCGCGCAGAAATTGTCGCAAATCCGGTAGTACATTATCCTGATTGGGCTCTGGACTGCGCCAGACCTCTTCACCCGTGCGTGGATCTATAACACACAAATAGGGCAGCTTGGCACAGTGATAAAAGGCCACGAATCGTCGACCTTCTGAGCTATCGTTATCCACTTGCCAGAGCACAAACTGACGTCGCACCAGTTGCTTTAGGTCCTTGATGCTCCACACATCGCGATTCATTGTCTGCGACTGAAAATTGTCGCCTTGAACATTGACAAGAAGCCAACGCTCGCGTTTGCTGGCAAATTCACGAGCCGCTGCCAGCGAACCAGAATATATAAGATCCGTGGGCGGGCGGAAGAGATCACCAAGGCGGGATGAAGTGCTGCCGCTTGAGCGGCCTTGTAACGACATGGCCTGCCCGGCCACAACCATTTGGGCAGAACGCTCACGGCGTCGACGATGTGTGCTCGGATCGGAGTAAACGCCTGTGGCTTGAAGCTGTTCCTCCATTAGGGCGCCCTCGCGTGCAAAGTCACGCAGTGGGCAAACCTTAACGCGCTGCGACACGCGAGACAACCGACTGTTATTACTGCTGCCAGACGCAAAAAAATTATCATCCTCCGGTAGAAGCAGTTGTTCCCGGACTGGCGCAATGGGTGCTCGCACCTCCTCCTCATCTGCAACGGCTGCTGTAGACGAGGATGTTGAGGCGCCATTGCCGGCACTGTTGCCACCTTGTTCGAAAAACAAGGCAACGGCTGCCGCCACATCGTTGGCACAGGCGCCAAGATAGTGTTTGGCCTCCTCCGCAGTGCAGGCAGTAACTTCCACCACGCGCTCGATTAGCTCGTCTGTTGGTGCTGCATTGCCACTCGACATTGCGTTGCAGCGAGTCAAATGGACTTGATCGATATCTTCAATTTAGTAGCTTGTGGATTTTTTGTATAACGCTTAATGCAAACACTCGAAATAGAAACTTAAACTTTTATTCGATGTGAAATGCAAATGTATGCAAGCTTGTAGTGCTGTAGGACGTTCGAAAATAGTGTGGACTATTGTTTGGGACTAAAGAGCACAAAATAATCGATGCTATCGATATATGAATATTCTATAGAGAGGAGAATATTTTGTAACTGTTATTTTTCGTTTACATTTCTCATCGAATTCGGCTCTACATTCGCAATGCTTCTCTCTCTATCTATGATTGTAAATAAGTCAGCAACAGTTTTATTCCTAGTCACAGAGAACAAGTCACAGGTACATTGAGTGGGCGCATCTCTAAGCAACAGTATCTTTCTGCGTCGAGCGCACGCAAAAAAGGTTTGCGATAAGACTTGTTAATTATAAAGAAATAATTCTATAAAATATGACTAATGCGCGCGTAGTCTAAATTAACCAATGTCGAAATTTCTTGTGCATGCGTAACGCCTGGAAACGGCTTATAGGCTATTTGCAACAGAGCCCCCTTTCGAAATTGGGAATACCAATTCCAATACAAAGCAAAAATTACAAGTGCTCACTTTGTGCCTCTATATTACAACGGAATAATGTGTTTACTGTGCGTTAAATAATTGCGAGATTAATTAAAAGCGTTATCATTGCTGCTGCTGGCTTTGTGCATTCGATCTGTTAACCGCATCCCGCCCGCCGCCTGTCTGCTGACGTCACAAAATGGTCTCGTTGATAAAAAACCAATTGCTCAAGCACTTGTCCATGTAAGTGTCATCATAAACGAGTTAGCATGAAATTGAATTATAAACTCTATGCTAATTATGGCCTTGCAGTGAGTGGTTGGTCGGCGGCTCTGGCGCCAGTTGCTGTGGGAAATTAAATTGATTTTTCCAAGCGCTGCTGCTGTTGCTCTGTTTTAGTTACTGCTGCTGCTCTTGTTGTTGTTGTTGTTGCTTTAATGTCGTTGTCTCTGGCTGTGTTTGTGCGCCTCTCTGTATGGGTGTGTAGATTTTTGCAGCATCCCAACACTTGCACAAAGGGGACGCTTGTTTATCGGCCGCCCCTTCTACCTACTAAGAGTAACAAGTGAATAAATTCAGCTCCCTCTCTCTCTCTCTCTCTCTCTCACGTTGAGTGTTTACATCTGTTATCAACAAAAATAAGCAATTTTATTTTAAACATTTTCATCGCACCCCGGCTTTGGGGTTTCTTTGCCATCTTGAAAAGAGTTCAATATGTTACGGGCTTATGTTAATATGTGAACATATTGCACATATATTTATAGATATATATAAATCTGGTCAGCTGGATAAATAAAAGTTATAAAGTAGCGAAATTTCTTCGACTTTCGGGCTCAATATATCGTTTTTTATATAGTTATAATTATATAAACAAAGGGAATATGCTTTGTGCGCTTATCAAATAGTTTATTTTAAGGTATTGTTCAGTTTGTTGGCTATCTTATATCTATCTAAATTCCTATTCCGTTTTCTCTCGCCATCCGTTCACACATATATGAAGAGCTATAGATGCGTGTCTAAGTAAACATTTAGCTGTATATGAGCATGTATTTACACGATAAAAGGCCCACTTTCCTTTTTAGCCCAGTTGTGCTCAGTTCTCAGTTTTCTGTTGTCCTAAAACTTATTTGACTTCTTTCTTTACACACAATTAAGCTGCAAACAAACTTAGTTTATGGTAGGACTTAAATGTTAATGCAAAGCAAACTTGTTGCCTTTTATCTTCCTATCCCTCCCTCCGGAGCCCCCCGCCCGTTTGATAAAAATATAAGCAGCCGCTCTTCTAAGAGAAAAGTTTTTGCTGTGCCTCAAATAAACTTTGAAAAGTTTTAAGCTGGAATTTTTGAAGTAGCTCGTTGGAATATATAAGTAAATATATTACTTATAAATCGATTAGAATTGTTTGTGTGTAAATTAAGAGTTATAGGAATTATAGGGAAATAACTCGATTTTATTCCAAAATTAATTCAACTGAAATCTAAATATGAGTGAGATATTAACAGTTGCTAAGTAACTTGAGTGAAATATCTAGTACATAACTTGCTTATGCTATCTTATCTCATTGCTTTCCAAATAACCTAATAGCCTAACCCTTAATCAATTATTCTCTTGACATATCAATTTAATAACAGTTAATACATACGTTTAGTCCAAGAAAGAGAAGACATTCAAGGCATCGACTATTAACTGCGAAACATAAAAATGTTTTAGTATTCACATTTAAGTATTAAAACAAGCTTCTTCTGCATTTGATACTTAACAGACAAATCATTTGCTGCGCTTGAGAAGGCAAATCAGCGTCAATTCAATCAATATTCAGATTTCAATTATGCATGCAAGACATTTACTTGAAATGGGTCAATTGATGGCAGCCGACGGGTCGCTGGCGCCGCTTGCTCTCGACAGCTTTGATAACTGAAATAAACAGCTTTTAATATTGTCTATTACTCATTCTAATAGCTACACGAAGAATCTATCCTCGGACAAAATCAATTTGAGCACATTTCGGGGCGAGGGTGAGCTCTCCAATTTGGAATTGGATGAGCGCGTGCTGACAGAACTCTTGGAACTGCCCAGTTGGCTGCGCCTGACGTCAGCCTGGTGCAATCATGTCTCGTTTCGCATTAGCTGGACCAAGCTGAAAAGCGTGCCTATAACGCTGGTAAGCTCAGCACATTTTTTCCATTTATCATCTGAAACATATGTTAATCTCGCTGTGCCTTACATAGACGCTGGACGAGGTACGCATTACCATCGAGACCTGCAATCCCACAACGCGCGATGCTGGCGCTACCGCCGCAGCGCTGCCACAAGTGCCTCAGGGTAAATACAGCTTCATACACAAGGTCGTCGACGGCATAACCATTGTGGTGAATACGGTCAATGTGAATTTTGTGAGCGCCGCATTCACAGCCTCCGTGCAAATGTCTCGAATTCGCGTCGAGTCCAAGACGCCGAAGTGGGCCAATGCCGATTTGCGTTTGACACGCCTTAAGGATGGCCAGAAAGGCATCATTTTGATCTTCAAAGAGCTCTCTTGGCAAACGGTGCGCATCGAGGCCAGTTCCACTCAGGATAAATCGTTGACTCCGCTTCGTTTGCTCACAAACCATGCGCGCTGTCGCATCACGATACGCAAGCGCTTAGCGGATTGCTCACTGCTGGCTTCTCGCCTGGTGCTCATACTGGACGATCTGCTGTGGGTGCTGACCGATTCACAGCTGAAGGCAGCGCTGCATTTTGTTGATTCTCTTTCCGGCCTGATAAAGGCCGCCACTCATGCCACACAAAAGTCAAAAGCTGCGCGTAAGCTTCAGGTGAGTCGAATAGCTAAACAATATTATACGAATTCAATTGAACACCTCTTTTGCTTAGACCCTGCCGGAATACCAGGCTCAGGTTGCACAGCAGCAGAATCGTCTCTCGGAATCGGTGCACCTGACGACGGCACAGCGGATGTTTAATGCATTTGATGTGCGCGAAACCTCGTATCATTTCTTCAGTCAGCGCATTGATCTGCACTTGTGTGATGATGAGGGCGATGGACGCTCGAGTTATCCAGAACTGGACAAGGGCGGTGCCCTGCAGGTATCTGTGACTGCGTTTCAGGTGGACTATTATCCTTACCATTTGGCCAAATCGGATCGCTCGCATTGGGCCAAGTACAAGGAGGCGTCGGTGGCACCGGCGCTGTGGCTCAAGGAATCGCTCAATGCATTCCGAGAGGCAGTCCTGAATCTTAGTCAACCCAATAGGCCAGCGACGCATGCACCGCTGGAGCGCAGTGCGCCCGCTTCGCCTATTATGTTGAGTGCCTCGCTGCTGAATTCACAATTCGCTAGCGCTGGCCCCGGCTCCAATGGCAGCAGCACGCCCACCGCAGCAGCAGCTGCGGGCAGCTCAAGCTCGACCGGTGGGTCCGGCAATGCTTCAGCCAGCAGCCAATATACACAGGCAGCCCAGCAGCGCAGCACGTTGGAGAACCTGGCCAAACTGATGAGCGCATGCGTTATACTGCGAATCGAGGACTTTACGCTGTACCGAGTCACTACGTCGGGCAAAAAACAGATGCCTAAAGAGTTTGTCTCAGGTAGGAACTAAGTGCACTACTCTATTGCTGATACCTTATACAAATACCCGCACATGCCACATACAAATTAGAGACAATTCACAACTGATGTACAAAGACAAAGACTTAACAGCTGCAGTACGCTGTTCATTAACAGATCTGTTAAAGTGAATGCTGTTAATGAACAGAACTGTTAAAGTGCGCTAACAGCTTTTGGCAGACCCAGGCTAATTAGCGCACAGCAGAGAAAATACCCTTTTACACATAGACATTTTTTGTCGATTCATTTTATCTATGGGCACCTATATTTAAACCGCTTAAACTATATGATAAATGTATATAGTAATGCTTGACTTATAAAAGTCAAGTCTTATAAAGTTTCTTAGGGCAACACAAACTTTTGAACAATCTAATATGCTCTTTAAAGGTATATAGACGTACATCAGCGTCTAAAACATTACAACACTTGTGCAGACTCCAGTACACACCAACACACAAACGCCCACCCCATACTTCCACAGACACTCCCCTAATACGCTTACACAGCATTTTCTTTTAAACTAATTTATTTTTCTCTTGTTCTCTGCTTGTTCCTTTTGTTATGTTATTTTGAACTCTTAACACAACACAATTCACATGTTTTCCATTTGCCGTCATGACATCTCATCATCTCATTGTCTTGTTTGTAAAACGCTTTTGTTGTTTGTTATTACTGTAGCACAACATAAAAGGAAAATCAAATCTTCAGGTGAATATCATGCAAACAATGCGCCTTTAGACACGGGCCGAAATAAATAGATCAACACTGAATTGGTTTCATTGTTAACTTTCTTAAACTAAACTTTCTGAGTTTCAGCAGTGAATGATCTATTGATTTGGCTCTATCTTAAAATTGTTTTCGTGTGTGTCATTTGTAATTAGCTTTGAATAACCAAAATGTGTTAAATAAAACTAATAAAAGCCTCTGATTACAGGTGATAAGGATCGTTACTCGTTTCCCGCCGAGATGCCGATAGTACATGCTGAGTAC